TGGAACGGTGCTCATTCGTGCTCCAGAAGTTCAACTCTGGGTCTTCAAAAGCCATCTATGACATCATCAAAGGAGATGAATCCTGGATATATCGATTCGACCCAGAGACAAAGTGCGGATCCACCGTCTGGCTCTTCCCTCGTGAACCGACTCCAACCGAGGTCGAGCGGCCCAGAAGCGTGGGAAGGTAAATGGTGGCTAGTTTCTTCTCTTTCACCGGTCACAGAGCCACCATACCTCTTCGGGGTCGAAAGATCGTGACCTCGAAGTGGTACGTAGCGTCCTGCCTCCCAAAAGTGCTGGAATCTTCGAAGAATCGGAGGCTCAAACCACCCTAGAAATCATGGATACTCCATCGTGACCCAGTCAAACGGCCGTCCTCACGTCGGATTTCCTGCACGAGTCTGGCATGAGGGTGCTCCCACATCCACCCTATGGTCCAGACCTCGCACCGTGTCACTTCTTTCTCTTCCCAGGAGTTAAAGAATCGTTTCGTGGACGGCGTTTTCAGTATCCAGAAGCAGTTGCTGAATTTATTTCTGTCATCTCGGGTATCCCAGCATCCGAATGGAAAGAATGCTTCGAGAAATGGTTTGCATGGATGAGAAAGTGCATTAATACTCGGGGAGAATACTTCGAAAAGGTGTAACGATCGAGTAACTAATCAGCAGTTTTCAGTTGTCCGTATCCGGAAACTTTCAGAGCGTCCCTCGTATTAGAAGCGGGAGTCTCTCGCATTCTCACTGCGGAAACCGGTAGCCGAATGAGAATTTCTTCACATCGACGTTCCCGTTCGCACGATCGTTGGGATGCCATCTCCTTCAGTTACATTTAAGCATCCGTATGTCGAGTTGGTCCCCACCTCCTTCTACCACTCTCGGTCGATAGAAGCAAAATAAAACGGACAGAAGACACCACGAAGCAAGAAGCCTTCATTAACGACCGAATGAAGCAAGAGGATCAGATTCTCACGCACTGATCGGAGCCAGGATATTCGGGCAGATCCAAGGAATACTTCTCTGCCAACTTCTGGGGCACGAACCGTCCGCCGAGGAAGTGAAACGGACCGTCGAAAAATTCGGCGCACTTCTTGGGAGCGGTGAGAGAAACGAGGAGCTTCGGTCGGACGGAGACTCCTTCCGGCGGCCCCTTTTCCACGTCCCACCCGGACGGGACGTCCACGGACGCGACGGGGACCGACGAGGCCGCCATGGCGTCGATGAGACTCCCGAACGGAGCCCGGATGGGGGGCTTGAAGCTGAAGCCGAACAGAGCATCCACGAGGAGCTGGTACTCGCCCGGGATCACCGCGTCCACGGGGACGAACGGGATTCCCATCTCCCGGCACTGATGGACCAGATTCGCGAACAGAGGCTTGTCGGGCTGCTTCGGGTACAGCACGGACGGGGAATAACCGAAGAGGCCGAGGTGTCGGGCGCAGACGAGTCCGTCTCCGCCGTTGTTCCCCGGCCCGCACAGCACCAGGACTCGAGTCGCTTCGGGGAACGCGGAACGGATGGCGGACGCACAACTCAGACCCGCCAGTTCCATCAGTTGATCCACGCTGAAGCGATATTCGTTGAACAGCTCTTGATCCACTTTGATGGCTTCCGTTTGAGTGAGGTACCTGAGTCCTTTCCCCATGATTCCTCCCAACCGATTCATCTATCTCCGCTCTCGCACCGGCTCGAGTTCTAGCAAGACGAATCAGCGTTCTCGCAAGGCCGATATCAACGCATCACCCACATTTTCGACGGCATGGGTCTCAGATTCAGGGGAGATTCATCGCACTCCCAGATTTGTCGGCACAAATCTTTCTGCAAGCAACACGGCGCGCGAAGCGAGACGATGGTCCACCGAGGCGACCCCATCACTCCAACGTCACGAGAGCGGATGGAAGTGGAATCGGCAAGCGGTACGATATCCTCTCGGCTTTGCAAATTCTCATCGACGCCGACACCTGCTTACGAAGGCAGAATCTAGCACAAACGGCCACCCTCTCACGCATTCTGTCGCCGGACAAAACGCACCGTAGGGTTATGCACTTACGAGCTATATCAAATCCTGAATCTTCTCCACGTGTAAAGGATTTCGGCAATTTTATCTGAAATGCACTATCATGGTAAATGGCACACACTGACGAAGCATCAGATGTCCATTCTCATCAGACAACGGCATCTTTAATTCATGTAGTTTCCACAGGTTCTCCAGAAAATGAGAAATCATGTAAATGCAGTAACATCATGTGACCATTATCCTATCCGGCGATGATCACGCACGTTCTGATAACCTTAAAAAATGTATCCTCTAGGTTTGGACTGGTATTATGGATGCTACTGGGAGATAGGTTACCTGATGAAAGCAAGAGAAATGCAGATATAAAAAAAGGAAAGATGGAAATTGCTTTATTCACTTGATTGAAGCAGAGTATTGAAACGTGACACGAGTTCAGAGGATCTCCATCTCCCGCTCGATACCGACAAACTTCAGCTGCTCGGTCGGTCCATAACTGTACGAGAAAAAAAGTGGGAGAAAAAAATTATGACCAACTTGGAAAACGGGAGAGAGACACCTGAGGAGGGTGCCAAAAGCACTTCTTCAATTCTCGATAAATTAAAGAAGTGTATCGAGATAAAAAGAACATTAGCCAATTTGCCAAGTTTTTGGCAAGAAAGAACTTCATCGAGGGTTAGAGAAAAGGCTAATGTAGACAGTAATTTCTCAAGACTCAGAGACAGCTACGTCTCAAAGGGCAGATGTCTTATTCCATCCTTCCCTTCATGGCCAAGTGCCCGGCGATTTAGCTTCTCTCATTTTCTGAGTCCCTCTATATCTTACAGTCAACGGTTATAATCTTTATTGTTTATTTTACAGATATTTTTCCGCATCTTCGCTACATCAGGATGATCAACACTTCAAATCATAGTTATGATGGTACCTGATTACTAGATAGGAGTTGAAAAATCCATATTACCAACAGTAACTACAATTTTCTGTATGGGGGACCAGAACGAGATCAGGAGTTTCCAAGATGACAACCAACTGTACACCTAAAACAAACCTACTACAGATCATTTAGTTTGGCATCTTGGCCTTTAGGCCAAGATGCCAAACTAAATCACATCCAATTTCACTGCTAGTTAGATTTCTCTCTTGTGAGAAAAAAAGAACTTATCCAATAGTCCCTTGGTATCAAAATAAAAAGGATTAAAAATTGTTAGCCACCATCAAATATGACCAAATTCTATACATCACTTTTCAATGTCAGTTGCTATCTGTGAAAACTAAGTACAGTGTAACAAAGCCAGAAGTGGCTTGAGCAAAGAACTCTTGAAACCATTGTACTTGCAAACCAGGGTGGAGAATGATCCAATCTCATGAATTTTACAGAGAATTGAGGATATGTACATTACATCAAAACTTCTACTTCATTGGTTTTTAGTAGGGCTGTCACGATAGCCGTTTTCAAAACATCGATGCATCGACCTAAACTATCGATAGTGTATCGATGCATCGGNATGCATCAGGGCAGCCCTAATTTTCTTCGTTCTACACCGTCTTTGGACATCGGCGCCGGCAGATAGGAAACCTGCCGATGGTGCCAAACCGACGGTTGCCGGTTGTACATCGGTACAACCCTAGAATAAGCAACGTCCACATTCACTTCGATTTCACCTCAGGTAGAAAAACGCCCTGAGGCAAGTTAAAAATTAAGAAAGTTAAGCCTGCATACTAAAGTGATAGACAGGACATAGAGAGGGGATTAACCAATGTCCGTTTCGAAATGGAGGGAGTATAAGAACAGTCCACTACCGCAGCATGGACCTCATGAGATCGAGCCGAAGACTGAAACTGACGTTAAAAAAAAATTATATTCTCGGTCTTTCTCCCTCTCCTTTCCCACTTCCTGTCTCCGATCCTACTTTTTTTTTCCCTTCCCGTCTTTCATATAGTCAGTCCCAGCATTTCCGGAATTTGATTGTGATAAAAAATCGCAAGCCCATTCGGGTCACGCCGCTTCTTCCTTTCCCCGCCGGGACGGACTATTGAACTGAACTCGCCTCGATCCAATGGGACATTTCCCCTTTAAAATCTTTTGCCGATGCATCGCGATGGTCGGAAAAACTATCGATATCTCCAACTATCGATAGAGGTATCGATGCATCGACCTATCGTGACAGCCCTAGTTTTTAGCAATTCTAAGAGTCCTGCACAAAATACACTGGTAACTGTAGGACTGGCATCTAAACGTTGCTACTACTTCAAACACTTTATTGCAAATGTCCTTTTTTGGCAAGACTGGCAAAACTAATGGCAACAAAATACAAGGAATTATTATACATTTCAGACTTGCCACTCCTTGGTATGCTAGACCATGAACACATAAAAAACTGATGTACAAAATATGATTTCTATTATGCTCACAAGCCTCATTAGCAATCCCATTAAAGCTGAAGAATAGTTGAATAAATGGCAAAAGCTAAGATGATCCCATAGGGTACAGGTCACAGTGTATTCTTGTCTTTAGATCCCTGAGAATCGATTGAAGTTGTCGTTCAACTATTGGTCATACAAGCTGAAATTCAAATGACTGGCAATATGCACTTTAATAAGAGACTTGTAGTGGCAGGAAGAAAGAAAGGCATGAGTCATGCTGACATGCTCCAGCAAGTCACTGAGCATTTATTGGAGTATGTGAAGTGATCACTGGAGCATGTGACATTATCTATGACCATCTAGAGTCCCTTTCATACTAACATTGAACTAGGGTTGAGATGGCATTGTGCTTATCTTGGTAACACATTGACACAAAACACAGAAGTCATGGTGTCACATGACATCATAGGATAAGTTCAAATTCAATGTTACGATGCAGATTTTGTGCTACATGGAACACCAACATTATATTTAAACTTGCCATGCATGCAATTGCACCACCACACATGCAGATTTGCTACAAAATAAAGGGAAAAAATCCAAATTACTAAAGCCACTGGCTTTCATGGAGAACTGTGATCAATCCAAGGCCATGAAAAAGGAATTACTAAAGAGGACAGAGGATGTAGGACACAAGGCAGATTTTATCAGCAACTAACCGATAGTCAAAGAAGAGTTCCTCTCCACTATGGATGGGTCTTTTGGCAAAGATTCCAATGCGATGATCTCCATTGACCATCATGACCTTGGCATAGCAGTTGGGATTGATGCTGTGGTTGGCAAAACGGATCTTGTTTCCCTTCCGTGTGGCATCCACCACAAAGTCTGCCAACATCCAGAAAATAATTTTACTCATTTTCACATTTTTCTTGGTACTACAGATAAGCTTTGGATTTTTTGGAGAAACTTCATTTTAACAACAATAATCAATAAATTATGGGAAAAATAAGAAGATAATTATCAACTGAACAATAACATGATGCACCTAACCATCACAGGAACTTCCACTGTCACAGAAGTATGTATTCATTCCGGTTAGTCTCTTACTAGGCTGGAATCTGTACACAGATGCAGTGATTTCACTTTGTAAGTGTAACGTTCAAATGCCAGTGCTAGCTGATAAGTATGATGACATTAGGTGGTGTCAGCATTCTGAACTTCCTATATTAGTGTTAAATCTTCCTTTTATTACTCAGTAGGGGACTAGGAAGGAGAATGCCTGGCCATCCAAATTGTTTATACTGGTTTTAGTACTGGGAGTACTGATGTAGAACCAGGCCACAGCAGAAATTCCAACAAGTGACTGGAAGGATAGAAGCAAATGAAGAATGACCAATCTATGAGGCTATGCACTCCTGTACTCTCTATTAATCTGGACAATAGTAATCTGGAATTCCTGTGATTCTGAGATAAATCAGTGATCTCAACAAAAACTCCAAAGGCAATCTGGACAAATTCATCCATTCCCCAGAATTCCAGATTATAGAATTTACATACTTAAAATGTGACCACATAAGAACAAGACAAGACTTTTAAATGGATACAGAAAGTAATTTTCATTAAAGGGAGTAAGTGGGAGGTTATACCATTGTTGAGGTTGAAGAGGAAGGAGCACATATACTTGTCATAGACTTTCCCCCTCCTATCAGCTTCATCTTGGGTGATGACTTCTCCACAGTATTCAGAGATGAACTCATTCTTTTGAGCAGTGCCTTCGAGGAAGATGCCCCAGCCCGCCACATCAGATGGTGCCATCAGCAAATGTTTATCTGAAACACACATCATTTACAAGTGATGCAAGAGGGAAGAGTGAAAGGTAACTTCTCTAGGTAGAGGACAAAGTCCACAAAAAGGCTGAACCACATTTGGGATCTTGACAATTATTTTTGAAAAAACACATTACTATAGGATTCCAGATGCTAAATTTCATTTTCATTGTTCACTTTCATGCATTTATTACAATTTTTCTCCTTCTTCTTCTTTCGTATAGAAAATAGCAACTTTGTGATTCTACAGTGATGAATAAATTATAATTTTTCTCCTAAAAAGAGTCTTGGGGGAGAGGGACAGAGGTGAACATACGGAGTCCACGTTGGACAGAGACATTCCTGCAGGAGATGTTGGGGAGTTGGAATTCATGGGCCCCACATGCAGTGCACATATCTGGGTCACACTCCCTCACGGCAAGGAAGCAGGGACACTGCTTCGTGTTGCACTGTGCCTTGCATCGACAACCTGGGAACCGATTCTGACCTGAAACAAAGGAGACAGAAAGGATCAGAGTAATTCGTCCTCTCAACACATTTCATTGGGATCATAGGGCAAGAAATAACCAAGAGGATTACAACTAAGACCAAACTTTTTTTTAAAAGATTGTTAGAATGATTGATGAGGAGGTGCAATGAACAAATGTGAACTTTGAACATGAATCTTATTCTGCAAGGAGGATCTGATTAAATTTAATCCTGGCTTTCCAGCTCCAAAAGAGTTTCCATCACAATGCTAAAAGAACTCAAGGCTATTGATTTTCCCCCTGGAATGATGGGGGAGTTGAGCTTATTCATCAAAAACATGGTTACAGACCAACCCAAACAAGATGACGAGAAATGCACAAGTCTACAGGGTGGCCCAGAAGTAATAGGGCAGTTAGTGGTGCAATCAGCAATCACTACAATTTTTTATTACATTTTATTTTATTATATTATATTATTTTATTATTATATTATTTTATTATTTTATTATTTTATTATTTTATTATTTTATTATTTTATTATTTTATTATTTTATTTTATTTTATTATTTTATTATTTTATTATTTTATTTTATTATTTTATTATTTTATTATTTTATTATTTTATTATTTTATTATTTTATTATTTTCTTATTTTAATTTCAGAATCACTAAGTATTAAGTTTTGCAAATAAAAATTGTAGTGACTGCTGATTGTACCACAAACTGCCCTATTACTTCTGGGCCACCCTGTATATAGTATTTGGTATGGTTCAAGCTCCCAAGCCTCAACAACCTTCAGAATGTGTACATCAGAGGTCCACTCTATCAAGGCCTTTAGGAAACTCTTACCATGAAGCAAAATAACAAATGAGAAAAAAAATACCTTGCACAAGATGAACCTTTCATTTACCATCTTGTCCTTGTCAGTCTGTGCAACCAGTTAGGTGATTCAGAACAGCTTAGCAGTTAGCTGATTCAGAACAAACACCACTACATCAGCAGGCTAACAAACAGAATTCTTCCTGGAGGAAGTCTACATTCCTAACATGTATAGGCTTTTGATGTCACTAATCCAGAAGTCCTTGATTCCTTGAACAAAACAACCATATATGAGATGCCAGAAATATCTTGCTTGACCTCTGACTGAAGCCTGTGTGTGAAGATGTGTGAATGACAATGACAAGAGGCAAGCACTGAGCTTCTCCTGGTGATGGGGACCAGAAGGTTTAAATTGCAGTTTTATTTAAGTCAGGCTGTTGCAAGTCTACTGTATACCTCCTACTTGAGTCAGCCAACCACCTGTCTTCAGTATCTTAACTGCTTGGCCCAGCCCATGACCTAACACAAGTTCCACAGCCAGTTGCCTAGCAGATGAACTTACAGTCAGAAGGGCACTGACAGAACTTCTCGCAGAAGTTCTGTGCTTGGACGCAGGTGCAGGTCATGTCGCACGGGAGACCCGGGTGCTTGCACGGGACGTAGTTGTTGACGGGGTTGGATGTGGAGTCCTTCTTCAGCTGAATCTTTCGACAGTGCATGGACCAGAGACGATGCTTCTTCTTCTTCTTGCGAGGAGGAGCCTCTTCGCACTGTGAGGTTGCATCCTCGGCCACCTTTTCCGGAGTGCTTTGGCCAAACTCGTGCACCTCTCGACAGGTCTTCGTCACCAGGATCTCGGCAATGGCACAGTAATCGTTAAGGAAGATCTTCCGAAGGACATGGAAGAGGCTCTTGTCTGCTCCAGTCCATACAGGGTTCTGCAGTTGGAGCCGTGCTTCGGCTTTCCTTTCCTCGCCGGCTGAAATGACATTTGCCACGATTGAGTTTTAGGTATTAGATCACATCTGACAGTGTTTGCCTATCTGACTCAATGAGAGTCAACGTATTTGCAGTCAGATTCTGGACCATACCTTTATGAGCAATAGGTAACGAAGTAGATTGAGGTGGTGTAGACGATGGTGAAGGTGGAAGGGTGTAACCATCATGTTTTGCAACTTCTCCATTTCGTGTTACTTCTGCTTCCCCTCTTCTCTTCTCCTTTCATATAAATCACAGCACAGAAATTAGACACAATTAAAAACGTATAAAATGAAGAACCACTCTTATATAATTTTGAAAGCATTTTTTATATGAAAACGAACCTTTAATCACCACTGCCTAATAGCAGAACTATTTTTATAACACAAGTTATAACGTATTGTAATAACTTTTAATGGCAATATAGACATTCAGACTACTCCTGGTAGATCACAGGCCACATGGATCACCTTTTCAGATGACCACTCTCAAATGGTCACATAATTCCCCAGGTGAATAGCACACCACATGTTAACCCATTCGGTCCCAAATTTAAATATATATATGATGCAAAAACAAATTTTCCTCATTCAACCATCCACAATGAGATGTCATAGACCACAAAAATACAAACTCCAAAAGAGATCAGTGACTAAGAAGTCCTGCCAGGCCTCAAGGCCATGCATTCCTATATAGCCCAGAAAACTATTTAAAAAAAACCAACAACAAACACAGGACTCCTGAATCCTGCCAGGACAGAAAGGGTTAGAATACAGGTTTGCCTTGTCCATTCCCAAAGCCAAAAAAGACAAAACCAGGACTATTTTCAGCATCAAGTTATCGATAAATCAATACTAATACAGTGCTTAGGGGAAAACATTTATGGTTGGCAGGATAACCATGATTAACAATGCACTGTACATCACTACTTGAACATGATATACGGATTTTAAAGAGTTAAGTGGTTTTCTGTCCTAGGACTAGTTGGCATCTCATCAAGAATCTACAAAGAATTTGTCTAGCAGCTGCTGCTGTACTATTCAATAGAATGTGCTGCTCAATGTGACACTTGTCTCTCAAAGTCATTCTCTAAAATTGACCAAGAAGAACATTCTGTGTCTCCTCCTGGGTAGCAGTTATTTCTCATATAAGTTAGCTTTTGCCTCCCTCAAGTTATGTTCTTTACAAAGGAGAAAAGTCACCCTTTCTGTCAATTAAGATGTCTTGATTTTTTAGAAATCCTAAATGGCAGCATATACTACCCCTCTATAGGACCCCAACCACTCATGTCCTTTGCCACAACTTGATGAAATGCCTTCGTGAAATCAAATCCCATACAAGGTGTTTCTGTGACTCAACTGTTACCAATGTTGTCAATTACCAAACAGAGCAAAGCTGTGCGATCTGTTTCTTTTCTCTGGTCCAGTGCTCCCTGTTTCACTCCAGTTGCAAGGACACTACTTTCTTCTGACTTTCCTCTTTTATTTTTTTGCCCAGTGACCCTTTCTGTTCCTCTGATGTCTGATATGGGAGATCAATTCGCTTCTGCACGCACCCTCCTAAATTAAATTCACACTTAATGTATTATTATTACACATTATATTTGGGTCACATGTACATTGTAAATCTAAACATATTCTAAAGTGATAAAAAACAGTCGAGATTCAACACTGGGCCAGAAAGGTACTTGGAAAATGACTCACTGAGAGAAGGTAGCAGTCTGGGCCACATTGCATCCCAACCTTAACATCAGGTGCTTTGCATTTTTGACCCTTTGGACCCAAGTGGAACATCTTCAGACCTTTCAAAAACAGTCAAGAATGAATGAATCTCAAATCCATTCTCAAAGAATTACAACCTATATTAGTCATTGTGAATATAAGATCACAAGAAACAAGATATAAGATCTTGTTCTCTGGGAACAAGAATATGGATGAACATAGCATCTGAGTTTTGCAGAACTCAATACTAACACTATTATGGCTTCATTCCTTGGAAGAGAAGCTCATCCTCTTCCTGCCATCTTAATCATGAAAATCACTTTCCCAGATCCAATATGCACTTGTCAGATGGCATACACATCTCAATGATTGTAAAATTGATACACTTCTGATGCGATGTGTGCTGTCTGATTTCTCACAGCCTCTAAAGCATGACTTTTGTTCTTCCTATAAAAGTGCCATACACAGAATATCTGCATCATAGTAAAAGAAGTGGAAAACCTAAATCTGTAATATATTGCATCAGAGCAACTTTGGCAGGTATAATGTAGAACTTCTTAAAGTAAAATCATTGCATTTTTTATATCAAAACCACCATGTTGGTGTGAAGTGACACGAGTTTATTTGTAGTATTGCACATATTCCACGTGCTTTTATGAATGGGAAGGCAGGGACGGAGCTCACGATGGAGACAGCAGTCGTATTTGAAGCAGCGTCTGCAGAAGAGCGTGTTGAAGGAATGAAGGCTCTGCTCCCTGGACACGCGTCTCGCGTGGGGGCCGTCGATGTTGGTCGTGCATTCGGGAGGTAACACCCCCGGTTCTCCTCCCCTCTGAGTCAATTCTCTGTATCTGCAGTGGCAAAATTTTCACTCACTTTCAACCATCCGAAAATCATCCCACAGAAAACGAGTAAAGCGAGGACTGAGTCCGAAAAGCATTGCTGCCGGTTCTCGTTCTCTGGAAAACTGCATCCATCAGGGTGGCAAGCCCGTGCCATAGAAGAAAATTATGGAATCAAAGCTCGTTGCGGATTTAGTGTCGTCTAGACTGAGCATACTCCCAATAGCAGGATGAGGGGGTCAGGAGCAGCTTCAGTCATAAAAGGAAAACTCGCGGAGCCCGATCACGCCAAATCTTTCCGTTCGTTGGTGAAACACCGGAGTGAAGGAGATCCGTCCCTCCGTCCATGCGTTTCCCTCGACCTTACTGGCTGGCTGTTCCCTTGCGCTTCCCTTCAAATCGGCCTCCTTGTTCTTCCAGGAGATCAATTAAATGCGAAAATCCCCCTCCCAACCGTTCCGTGCAGATCGTGGATCCGATCTCATTCGTCTATCCCGATCGACGATTCCATTTCGTCGACCGATCCTACACGTCTCGTGGGCTCCCCCGATTTCAAGCTCGGGCGAGGCCGTACGGCCGATTGGAATCGCAAAACCGATAAGTGGGTATCTCGCCCGCCGGCCGGGAAAGGAAACGGGACCGGAATCGCGCACGGATTCTATCAAGAATACGAGTGAGGGTATGGACGTCCAGACCCACCCGCAACCAATTGCCACAACGTTCACATCCCATCGATTCCACGATATCAGAAAGGTTTTCAATTATATGGAAAGCAGAAGCCAGATATCGAATATTTCGGAGGACCTTTCTCGCGATTCTTTCAACCTCTACCATAATTTTTGCGAAACTTTCCCACAGTGGATTAGAATAGCGACTAGTCCTGGTATTTCTTCCAAGGTCAAGAGATCGTGCCAAGAGAAACCAAGAATCAGTCTCCGAAAAAAAAATTCATATTATTTTCATGCGAGAAAGGAGGGGGGGGGGGGGGGGGGGGATCTGGCCTCATATCATAGCATGGACTCGGGTGAATTTTCCTGCTGGCACCACGGTCCCAACTCGTTTTTTCCTCCCTCTCCTCACCTTTCAACCGTACTCATTCCAGTGTGAAAACAAAACTCTCGTTGCTCGTTTCCGAACCGAAGAGCTTCAGTTCCGCGATGGAAAAATTCATGACGGTGATTCGATACTTTTAACTGCGCATCACGGCCCCAAAACGCGAAAGTCTGGCGCAGTCGACCTTGCGCGTACCTCTCACTTTCCTCGCATCGACCACCCGACGAATCCATCGAAACGAGGAAAGGAAAAAAACTCACTTCGCCTTGAGAGCATCCGGTGAGCCCTTGTCGGGGAAGAGCGTGGAGATGGCGTGAAAGACGATGGAATCCTTCTCGTTCGCGTCCTCGGCTTGGCGGAGGAGGGATTCCACCAGTTCCACGAACATGTCGTCGTCCATGAATCCTCCGTCCTGGTTCCCGTGGACCTGACCGTCGTAGTTCTTCAGCAGCTCCTCGATGAAGCTGCCGTCTTGCTCCAGGACCTCGTCGCCCATGTAGGGGATGTTGTGGAGGACCGTCTCGTCCTCGACCTGCGGAGAGAAGAGGACGAACGTTTGCATCTCGGCCCGAGGCGCGAACGAAGCGGGAGAGGAGACGGCACGCTATCGCTCGTAAACGAAACGACGAGGAAGCCGCGTGACGTCTTCGCGACGATGCGAAAGGAACCGATGTCCCCCGGCTCGCATGCCAAAGCCTCTCCCCACCCTCGAGGTAGCCTGTCGACACGGGACGTCCCACAAACGATACTCTGCCGACCCAAAGTAAATATAGTAATTGCGTGCATCGTGCGTGATTCACACCGATGTACATCGACCCAACATTCTGCCGAATGCATTCCAAATTCCATACTGGCGTGTTTCACGAAATCAGCAAAAACTTTGCCCGTCGTGCTCATTCTCCTTGCTTTTTTTTCACACAACGAGCAAGTGAAGTTCCAAGCAGGGCGGTTTTCAAATGGAGATATTCCCATTCCACTTTCGTGTCGCCAGTGATCGATGCCTCCGTCCGGAATCGGACGTTTCCGTGCATCGCGGGGACTTTCTCCGACCGTCCGACGAAAATCGGAGCGCGTGCGACTCGGTCCGACGATTCGTCCGATGTTTCGCGTCGAGGAACCGAAAAAAAAACGTGCCACGTCTTCGAGAAGCGGCCGCCCCGCTCGCGTGCCGACGACGACGCCGTGGGTTTCGCTCGGAACCGGCAGCAACCGTTTCTATTTTATGACGTTCGAAACGGGTCGAACACGATTCGCTCGACTCCGATCTTTCCGAGGCAGCCGACTTCATCCCGATCGCTTTGTAGTTCACGAAAAACAAGGGAACTCGACAGAAAACGGCGTCGTCTGCCGGTTCCACGTACTCGATACCATCCGTAGACGGAACGAGGAAAAGAGAGGGCCGAAAAAAGCGTATCGTCATCCTCCTCGTCCGCGACTGCAAGCGGTAAAGATCGCTATTTCGGATCGCTCTCGATGCCTGCCCGATCTGAGCCCAAGAACCATCGTCGGGTCGCGATCGAATCCTCGACGACGACGAGCTTCTCGTCTACCGCGTCTCCGACGGAAAATCCGATCGTTTGCGGCGGTCTTTGGGGTTTTCTCCCACCGGGTTTCGGCAACTCGATAGTCCTCTTCGTTTCCTCGGTCCGTTTAATTTCGTCTGGCTCGTCACTCGATCGCAGTGCATCGGCTGTGGTTATCGTTATTAAGCAACGAGAAGTGAGCACCACGAACGTGTCAAAACAAATTCGTCCCACGTTTTCAATGAAATTAGACAAATTTGGCAAATCAACAGCATTTTTTTTTTGCTGTTGAAAGCACTTTGCAGCAACATTGTGAATTCCATGCAATGAGCACAATGATAGCATATTCCATGAAATCGGCAAAAACGTGGCGCAATGTGTGCAGAGTAGTTGCACGAATCACGCACAAATCCCATTTCCGGGAACTTCTAGCAATTGTGACCCTCACTAAAACATTGGACGGTGGGGAACGATAGACCGATATTTCCTCAAATTGATGCTGTGTGGCTTTAACGAAGTAAAAATCTCTCCTTGGACAAACAAAATTACAATGGGCAATAATTCACTGATCCTTTTCTAAATCACTTATGCACGGTAAAAAAAAAAGAAGCTTTAGGAAGACGTAAAGAGCCACATAAGGAGTGCCTGATTGAGACGAAAAGCATCTGATAAAGATGAGATTATTTTTTTTTTGGCTCCAAAAATATATGGTTCTTCACAGAAAAGTGACTTGCCATGAAGTTCTGTTGTATGGGGGCCCAAGCATACATGGTCGGCATGGGATTGATCTGCTTCATGACGATCAAAGGCGTGAAGTCCATGTGAGGTTCATCGGGGATCTCGAAAGCAGCGAGCCTTCCTTCACCTTCTTCTTTCTCGCTCCCTCCGGAATTCCCCAGCCTCGGCCATTCCACATTGCTCTTTTCCCATTTCTTCTGCTCCTCCAAAACTTCATCTACAGGTAGAAATACATAATATGCTTTAAGGTCGCACCAGTGACATGACTCTGACAGAGTGAAAGAAAATCACCACTCCTCGTATCACATAGAGCTAAAAACGCACAGGATAAAAAAACAACTTGACGTAAGGCACCAATCGCACCCACAAGTCCAAAGGGGGGAAGGACTTCTGAGGGTTAATCTACTTGTCTGCATTATTTTGAATAAGTACTTTCAACAAAGCTACTTTTAACAATTATTATAGAAAATTCTGATTTCCAAAGTAACTAGTTACAGTCTCATCATTTCTCAGCTACTCTTGTGGCAAAGATTCCCGTTCAGCCAGGACATGGATCTTCACCAGCAGACACCATCACTGCCTGAGAGTAGGAAGGGATGAAAGTAAAGGGTGAGCTCATCTCTGATATCTATTACCAATCTACAGGGTGGTCCACATTGTCTCCCCAAAAGTAAAAGCTTATTACTCAGGAAGTATACATCAGATTTCAATGATATCTGATTCAAATGATAGCCAATTCAATATAGTTTTATTGTGGAAAATTTCAGCATTCCACAAGAAACTAGAAAAAAGTTACACCATAACAAATGAAAGTACCCATATCGTGCAAAAAAGTCTGTAAATATCACCATCCCTTCTGAATTTTGCAATTCCATCCTGAGTTTTGCAATTCACTTCTGGGTTTTTCATGCATTGCGAGGGATTGTCTATGTCATGGGTGACCTCAGTATCTTGCAGAAGACGAATACTGCTATTTAATTTGATAATTTGAAGAGCAAATTTGTGTGGGGAAAATTTGGAAATATCTTCAGTTTGGGTCCCAATGCCTCAGTTCCAGAAGAGAAGATCATGAAGGCAATTCATAAGAGGTTTCTGAGTCTGAAGAGATTCATCGCAGACTTATGAAAACTTAGATATGCTGAAACAGGCCATTAGAGATGCCTTCACCACAGTAGGACCAGAGGTGATTGAAAGAATTCTGCTGGCATTTGAAGAACAACTGCATCAAGTCATTGACAATTGTGGAAGTCATATTGAACACTGGTGATTTAGCGGCTTTCATTTGTAAGGATGTAACTTTATTCTAGTTTTTTATGGAATGCTGAAATTTTCCACAATAAAAATATATTGAATTGGCCATCGTTTGAATCAATATCATTGAAATTGGACATATACTTCCTGAGTTATGAGTTTTTACTTTTGGGGAAACAATTGTGGACCACCCTGTACACTGCCGGAGGATATGTATTACAGCACTGAGATAGCTTCTTTAAAGTGAAAGGGGATTAAACAGAAAGAAAAGCATTAAATTACAGCCATGTCTTTAGTAATGAAGTGTTACTTCCATCACTTCTCTTCAATTGCTCACCAAAATGATGCTGCAAATTCTTCTGCCAAGAAGCTTTCAGAATATCTGCTCTGCGAATTCGTTGTTGCTGTTGTATCCGTGCCAATTCACACTTGACCCTTCGCTTCCACTCAGCCGAAACCTTCATTGCTGGTACCAATGATGATCAGTCTTCCTTCCAGTAAGTCTATTATGTACACTGACAATGAGAGGGTCAAGAATTCCACACTTGGGAGTGTGCAGGTGTGTACCTCTGAAAAAGGGTGGAATATATTCTTAAAGAAAACTTTTAACAATCTAACCAACCCAGCAAACTCACATTAACTGATATACCTACAATTGATTTGGTAACAAACAAAGGGTGGCCCATTAGTAGGCTTACTGAAGAATTTTCAGCTACACAAATTTCTTATTGGCATTGGTTTCTTATATACGTTAAACGATACCCATCTTTACTTTTTAGAACTTGTTGATGGCTATATGTACTTACTGCTGAAATGGCTTATGGACTCAAGAAAATAGCATAAGATTTTAAACATTACTTTGTTAATCATGTAAACTTACTAATGAGCCAACTTTTAGAGGCCCATTTAGACAGATCAAGGGCAGTTTGACACAAAATGCTAAAAAAAAAATCGAACTACCTGACCTGTTTCTTTTTTTAATACCATCCCTGGTATAGATGTGGATGATCTACTTATAGTGGTTATTGTTCACTTGTGAATGCTATGTACATCCTGACTTTCTCATGAGCACATCTAGCACAAGGCAACATGAACAACTAGCTGCTCTCCCTTCTCCTGCATGTTTCCTGCAGTAGTTGTACAACTGTATTAAGTATGCCCACAAGTCCATTTTCCTGACTATCCCTTCTGGATTGGGTTGCACTACCCCACTCTCCCACTGCTCAGCCTGTTATGATGCAGTGTGATTAGTGCTGATTGCACTCTGACTGTATCACAACCTTGCAGCCATGCAATGATTACAAATCCATATCATTTGTGAAACATTGTCATTATCATTGGTCAGATGGTAAAAATCCAAGAGAATTGCTTAAAAGAAGTCACCAATATTCTGTGGTAGAATAATTGAAGTGAACAGCAATGTTGAAGGGGATACTGCCAACCTATTGCCCTGAATGATGCTCTGGGATGCAGAGTAGATCACCATGCCTCTGTGTGAAGTGGTTTCTTAGCAAGTTGATAACAGGCAAAGGGCTATGGGTCATGTTAATTACGGCAAAATGTGTTGGCGTTTTCTGTCTGGGCCAAAAGTATATATTCTGCTGTACTCGAGTGCAGAAATGTAATGCAGGCATACAAACGCACTTGTTTTGACACGGTTTACTTATCTCCCACCTTTCTTGTTGCACATTAAGCATCTTGTTTGCCACATTTTCACGTCACTATAACAAATAATCACGTAGCTTAATATCGCTCTAAGGACTTCCCCCTCTACTCACGACGGAGTAGGCATGTTTCTTGATGCCAAGAAAATTCTTCGGATTCCGTAAAATGTCAAACATAAACCTCGGCGAAGTTAGACGGTGAACTGCCAGCATGACATTCGTTGGCGTTTCTTTTGACAAGGGAAGCTTGGCCTTCCGTTGGTTCACGGCTTCAGCGTGCCCCAGTCAGCTCAGAAACGCCATGACATGCCGCATATGGCGCCGCCCGTCGGTCCCGCTCGTTCATTGCCGCTTCGCGTTTGCTGAAGGTCCAATGTTATAGTGGGAACGTCTAGAGGCGTTTTTGCTCATTATCACGTCCCGTTTCAAGGTTGATTCCAGATTCACAAGATTTAAGTAGACTCCTTCTTTTCCTAATTCATGTAAATGTTTTCCAGGCAATTCACTTATCCAAATTACCTTGTTTGCAGATGCATTAATCGCTTCCATGCAAGAACTTGCCTAAATTATAATTAAAACTCTCTGTTGAAGGTGGAGTATTACCAGGATGGTTTAAGAATAACGAATATTCCCGTTAATGTTGGTAAAACTAAGCATGCAATATTTCATCTAAATGCTGTTATATGGAGAAATCACAATGAACCCTGTGATGGGAAAATATGATGCATGTTAATTGAAGAAATTTTCTGTAACTTCACCTTACTGAAATGTTACCTTGAATGTACATATCGATGATATGGAGTGAAAAGTTGGTAGGTCCAGTGATATTCTTCACTTTTAAAAAATTCTTTTTCTGACCAATTTATCCTCTATTGTGCCCCCAGTCACGCATTGCATTCGGGATTGCTACCAGGGGAAAATGCAGTAAGAATCTTATTACACAAACTGAAAGGTTAAAAGAGAGGGCTTCTTACGTACTCTTATCATGTAAAGAGGTCAAGTGTAATCTCCTTCAAAGAATTACTTTATACTAGTAAGATTTTATCAGCCTCAACTATATGGCTTTTGAATTCATACATGAGTATGAATGCAATAACACTGGACTTCTCAACAAATACTGTGAGAAAAGTATAGTTAGCCTAGCACGAGGCAGATCTATTGGGACAGAGATGTTGGATATCCAGTATTTTGATTCTTCACAGCTTGCAATGACTTTTAATATTTGGCAGTCCCTTCAGCACCTACATAACTGCAGCTTAAAAATGCTGTTGCTTTGCATTCAGATGTTATCATATTGAATCATGTGGTTTTCTGTAGTCTTTTACTAGAGCTAGAATTATTTTCCCCCATACTATGTTTCACCAGTGAAAGTGAAGATAGGCTTTTCTCATCTTGCTGGCAAAATAGTTTTTTAAAAGTAATTTTTAGCAGACACACATCACTCTAAAAGGCTGTCAGACTCTTAAAATTAGCATTTAGATATATTCAGTTTAGTGGGCCTAATTCAAAGATGCTCACTATAAAAGAAGTCAGGGAGTAATAACAACTAGCTGATAAGATCCTGTTTCTCAGCTTTATCTCTATATTCATCCATTTGGATTATGTAGTTTTTGAAAAGACTGATCCATCCAGTCTTGATGTACTACAATCAGCCTGTCCTCAACACACAGTGATGGCAAGTGATGGAAGCCTACCTTCAGGCCCCATACCTGGGGTATCATATCCTATACATGTGAGGTACTGTGGGAATTGCAGCATGCCGATTGAGGTGAGAGCCTTTTATATCCAGTCAATTCATGATCAGTTAGTCCCTATAAGTAACTGTTATGGGAATATAAATTTTTAGTAGTTATCCAACCTGAAATTTTGAATTTCTTGGGAAGAGCATTTTGCAGGCTTCTAGGTGTTCATTTGTTGCATGCCAACCTATTTTATTTTTCAGTAAGATGAATTGTAAAGCTCTGCTCAGTGGGATAAATTTGACTTGCTGATGTGATTTATTGGGATAGGCCTTCATGACATCTTGCATCAAATACTTTCCCCTGCAGTTCATTTCTCAAAAAACAGTTATTCCAACTTTTTATTTTTGCAGTACTGTGAGTACTATCCAGAGTATGAGAAATGCAAGATGTGGCTAGAGAAAAATCTCCCTGCAGAATTTGACAAGCTCCTTAGAGAAGGTAAGAGATGTTGTCCTGCCTATTTTAAAAAGCCTCTCTCTGGAGAATATATAGGGAATGCTTTTGGCTGATTCATTATGATAATTAGGGAAATAATCAAGAATATACCCATAGCCCTAAGACCAACCAAGGTTGGAGAATGCCATAGGTTGACTTGCTTTATTGCTTGAGCTTGACCAATTAGTTGCACTGAGAGATAAGGAACAAGTAACTTTGCCTTGAATTTTGTTCAAGGGAATGTCTGTCTAAGTAGACATTCTTAGAACCCATTTGATGCTCATAAAAAAAATGTTTTCGCATTGGAAAAACACTGGTTGCCTATTTAACGGCACTAAAAATTGATGCATCAAGGTTCAAGGTTGTTTAGTGGTATCAAGAGGCGATAACACCCGTTTGGATACCGCATGTCTAGGTCGAGCTGCATCCAGCAGCGTTTGGAAATCTGGGCTTGAATTTTGAACATTGTAATTTCTGCACTCCCATATAAAAGGTCCCTGCCATTCATTATTTCAAAATTCCAGTCAGAAGCCCTGCCTGAGACCAAAGTGACAGGCCTAGATGATGCTTGGAGAATAAACAGGATATTGATGTAAAAAGAATGTCATCACTTGATGAGTTGTCACAACCTGGTAGTTAAGCTTTCTAATTCTATGGCTAACAGCAAAGAACAGTTCATGAGGTGATTATGTTGTTGAGATTGTGAAAGCAAGATGTTGATGATGCTCAGGTGAAGAAGGTGCGGGAGGAGAGGGAGAGGAGAAAAAGCGTCAAAAGCGTGGTGGAAAGGGGCTCTTGAAGGCCAAGAAGAAAAATGAAGGACCTAGAGCCATTAAACTATCCCGTGCTCCTCGTGGCAAAAAGAAATCTGTCACTGTGATAGCTGGTCTTCATACTTTTGGTACCTTACCATGTCCTCCAATTCTTTCCCTATTTCTATCCTCTCTGTTTCTAGTTTCTATCTAAAAATGCTTGAAATTTTCCACCTACATTTTTTCAGGTATAGATTTGAAAGAGGCTTCTAAGTATTTTGCTACAAAGTTTTCATGTGGGAGCTCTGTGACAGGAGAAGACGAGATCGTGATTCAAGGTGATGTCAAGGATGAACTCTTTGACATCCTCCCAGAGAAATGGCCTGATGTGAGTCTTCTATCATTATGTCCTCACAGCTCATCTGTTACATTTACATGATTAATTTATTTTAAATTAATCTATTCCTTTTTTCATAGAAGGATTCAGATGTTCAATTCATTGTATGGTTTCTATCAGATAAAAGCCAGTAGGTGATAAATTTACAAATTAAGTTACGGTGGTTAAGGTTATTCAGCTGTATATCAGAATGAATGACATGCTCCTATCTTTCACATGAATATACTATTTTTCTGATACAAATTATGAATGGAAAAAAAAACCTCCCTTGATGTATTATCAATAACATTATTATATATGTGTTATTACATATAAAATATATGGACCTATGTATTACATTCTTGGTTTTTCTTTTCTCTTTGGGCTTTGCTATTGATAGGAAAGTGATTAATGAACATTTGGTAAGATCCATGATAGTCTGCAGCAAGGATTTGGATTTAAAATGATGTGAAGGCTTTGAGAAGTGAAATAATAGAGGTGCTCCAAAAGGATAGTGTTCTAGAAATCCCGCATCCAGTTTCTCTCCCCCTTTCCTATTGAGAATCAAGTGCTGCCCATTGTGTCAAGACTGAAAATTCACTTTCAGGGGACCTCTCCTCAGAAGAATCAAAGAAAGGGAGGGAAGGATTTCCCAATTGACCAATTCAGACATGTGCTTCTAAGTTCTTCCATGATGGCCTGTGTGGAATACCTGCATTTCCCTTGACTTGGATGAAATATTGTCTTGTTTTGGTACACACTCTAAGGCTTGCCATGTACACTTAAAAAAATTTAGCAAGGTGTCCTGGTAGACTTGCAAGTTTCAATTCTAGGGCATCAATGGGTTCAGCAGCAGAACAACATGAAAAGGCAGTTGCTGATCATAACACAAGGAAGTTTTGGTCCTCCACTGCTAGATTTTGATTAGACATTTGGAAAGGAAACATGTAGTCATCTTGATATGGCTTTATGTCTCAGATTTCCAAATGAATGGCTTTGAAGTCATTGTGGGAATAAACTGACCTCTAGCAAAGGAAAGAAACTTGACTAGTTTTCTGGAATCATGTTTTTTTTTTTTCAATTTAAAAGCATTTTCAAGGAGACATCTGGGAAAAAAAAGACATTTTGAGGAGTGATTCTTTGGTTAGCTACCAGAATAAGAAAAAGTTGCAGGTATGAAGGGTCATGGAAAGAGAAATAAAAATTGTAAATTGAGATCTTGTTCAACTACTTGATACTTGTTTTGATTACATGTCAGGGGTTGCACTAGGATTCTTGCTCTGGCCTCCTGCCCATACATCCTGGAGATCCTGGGACCCTGGGACACATAGGCAGAAGGCCCAAGACTGCTGGATTGAATATTGTACTGCTTGGTTATGTTAAGTCGGCAAATACACATGGATTGCTGGACTTTTCCTTTTGGGGAACCCTTCAAGATTCCCTTGTGTTTCACTTGGAAAGTAACCCCCTTAATTATAAGGGTCTCCTACCCTTCCATGTCAGACCTGAGAGCCCCGGGGACCCCTACGGCAAGAAACCTAGCACAACCCCTGCATGTGCAAGCTTGAATGTATTACTGATGAAGTTTTTATAATTAGAGGATTCTGGCATGCAGGTGTCGTCTAAAATCATCTGGCATCTCATTTTCTCTTGTAGATAGATGAGGACCTCATAGAAGACCTGGGAGATCAGAAGCGATGAATCTCAGTCTCCTCTGCCTGCCTCAAGTTCCACACATCAAACATGGTTTCTTGTCATATTGATATGTTGGAAATTTCATCTTCATAAGAAATAAAGTCTTTGTGTTTATGATGATCTGGAAGTTTGGCTTCAGAAACCATGCAGAAAATGTTTTTTCTTGTGATAACTGACAGCCTACATAATACATTATTCAATTGGCAAGCATGCAAGCTGTGAATGTGTTTTTCCCTTTGAGTTTGCTTAGAATGTTTTTTCAGGGAGGTTTATGCTATGGGCATAGGATTTATGATAGGATCTTTGAGCTGCATCTGATGTCATGGAAATGAGTATACAAAGAGCTGTATAACTGCTTAAATATATACATCACATAAACCTTGTTTACAGCATGACTTCAAGTGACATCTCTGTCAACTTTCTTTAATAAAATTGTAAAAGTAATATTTATTGTGAAAATATAAATTAAAAAAAAATTGACAGGCTTTAAAAGTTTCTAACTTTACAAAACGATGGGCAAAACTATGCAAGACATCTTCAAGTGTCATGTGTAGGTCATCAAACGTTATTGCTGAACTTCACTAGGGGAAACTGGATAAGGGTTAACCTATATACGAGGTCTGATCAAAAAGTTCCAGTACTTTTATTCGTAAACTTTATTTTTAATAAGTACATTAGAATTAATTGTTGTCCCCTTCAAAGTATTCCTCCCTCCATGCTATGCACTTATCCCAATGCTCCTGCAACTTCTGGAAGCAGTGCTGGAAGTCCTGGAGTGTAAGACTCTCAAGCTGCCTTGTTGCATTTTCCTTGATGCTTGCAATGCCTTCAAATATTTTTCCTTTCAGGTGAAATTTAATCTTGGGGAATGGGAAAAAGTCACACGGAGCCAGGTCCGGTGAATAGGGAGGGTGGGGCAATGCAGGGATTTTTTTTAAAGCCAAAAATGAATTGTGAGAGCAATGTGGGCTGGAGCATCATCGTGATGCAAAAACCAGGCTTCATTTTGGAAAAGTTGGGGCCGTTTTCTATTTTTTTCTTGCAGACGGGTCAAAGCATCTTTGTAGTTAGCTTGGTTAACTGTCTGGCCTTGTGGGTCAAACTCATGATGCATCAGGATCATGATGTATGATCGAAAATTCGATGAAGGGCACAGAGACGACTGGATTTCAACACTCGTGATTTGTGACTGGCTAATCCTAGCGCAAAGGAGGTTTCAACATGCGTGCGGTTACTCCCCCACTCCCACCTACACAAGTCCTAGCCCACTACCTAGAGCAGTTTATTTTTTAACAAGAAAGTACTGGAACTTTTTGATCAGACTTCATATCTCTAGTCTCACAAGATCTACTTTCACAAAATTTTCACTGTGCTTAGATTGGTATATTTCAGACACACCTTTAATATTCTGTTAAAATTTATATTGCCAAAGAAAGACAAGCAATTTCTCAACAACAAAAAAGACATGGGACTCCATTCTCTTTCATGTACATTGCCTCCTACCTCATTCTGATAAAAGAAAGGGAAACCTGAATAAACTTTTGGAAAACAATCTGTTTTGATACATATTGACTCATCATTGATAGAAATGAAGTTCATCAAAACTATCAGCAGAAAAAGGCCAGCCTAAAATAAGAATTAAATAGAAGTTTGAAATGGCCCATGTGATGTGCAAATCGACCACTTGGGTGTGTCTTCTGCTCACTATCAGCATGAGATCTTGTCTATTTCCAGTTTAAAAATTCTTTCCAAGAGTTTTTAATTACCTTGCTTTGGAGCAATCTGGAAGAAATTTTAAAGAGATTACATATTCATCTATACACAACAGAAGTTTTGTGAAAATACTCAGCAAATACTCATCAAAAGTCAAAGATGAGGGAATTTCGATGGACCTTTTTTGTATAAAGTGCTGAGTATACATTGTATAGGTCTATAACTGAGTAGTCATAGACCTATACAATGTATACTCAGCACCTCTATTGTGAAAATAGCAGCAGTGGGAACAGAGATAGATAAAATTTGTAGGTTCTTTTTTTGCCATATTTTTTGGAAAGCATGTATTCAGCTGTAGCAATTAACAGGAGGAATAGTTAAGAATGCCAATTGAGAATACAATTTACTAAACTGCACAAGTGCTCTCTTGATCTCCAGATTTATGGAAGAATTTGTGAAGCTGTAAGATTTATTGTAATGCAATTTCAACTAGAGATATGATGATACCTCAGTATCTTCCAGTGATATCAATGAAAATGGCTGTGGTAGTGAATTTAACTTTATACAAGCACAATTTAAAGGAAAGGGGTCGAAAATCTTCCTTTCCTCAATATCAGTTATCTCCATCCATCATCAAATGATACAAGAATTCTGTACCATTGCATTTTCTATTAAATATGATAATCACTATATTTTCCATCTTGAAGGCTTATCAAAGACAGCAAAATTGTACATTGATAAGAGAGCTCCAATGGAATACGCTCCACTATTCCTGCCACCAAGATGCATGTGGCTAGCATTAGGGGGTAAACAAACGATGCGCTCGGCTATCCTGCTCAATGTTCAGCTTTTATTCCAATGCATTCTCCTTCATTTCAATGAAATGAAAATCACCCCACCATTTCACTCGAGTCCCTTTGAATTATGGGAGTTTGAAGATTCACCAAACACCCAATTACTCTCACCATTTTTTGTTGCTGAGGGACGCAGGTTTGCGGGGAAGTATCATGGCATATCCACGCATTATCTGGATGGCTCTTACCACACGGACTCAAAAGGAGGTGATCTTCCATGTCATTGCCACCTCCTCAGGAGTGAATTGAGTTTTCCCCGAGATAAGGAGGAAGATTCCATGTTCCATGAAGGTGTTCGCTACTCCACTCCTTTCCACCACCGTTCACTGATGCTTCTAGTATAGCATTCACTGATGAATGTTATGGTTCCATGGGGGGGCAACACCATTCATCGCTTTGAAGGTATTGGGTGACTTGTAGTTACTGTAAGTAATTCTTTGTTCTTCCAGCCTGAATCTAGGAACAGCAATTTCAATCTCTGTACAATCGATTACCATTCGGCAGTTGGAAAAACTGGCAAAGGCATTGGGAAGTCGAGTCCTGTTCTTCTTCACACTGGGGACGCAATCCATCATTCCCACATAAAGGATCTCGTAGCAAGCATTGAGATATGTCATCAGTGGCGTAGGCAGAAAATCGGCAAGGGGGGGGGTTGAGGCCAGGTAGACACCCCCAAGGTAGACAGATATATTCTATCTACCATCCCAACCCTACACTTAGCTCCACCACCCAGAATTTACTTTCTTGAAGAAATCGTGGTCTGGCATCTTGGGTCTGTGAATGAACATTGGACTTTCCTCGAAGGGGGATAACTAAAACTGGAATTCCCAAGGAAGGCTGAAATATGCCTGTCTGTCACTGACCAGGAAGCTCAAGGGGGGGGGGGTTCTGACCCCCTAAACCCCTAAAACTGGAATTCCCAAGGAAGGCTGAAATATGCCTGTCTGTCACTGACCAGGAAGCTCAAGGGGGGGGGGGGGGGTTCTGACCCCCTAAACTCCCCCTTCCCTACACCACTGTATGTCATTAGGATATTCTGGACATGACTTCGGCTCACTCCAAATCGGATGGACAGATCCTCATTAGGCACTGCCAATCGCAGTTTGACAGTTCAGAGAAAGTGGCATGCAAGTACATTTTCTAGTATAACGCAAAAAATTCTGAAATATGAAGTGGAACGGAGATTTGCAGTGGCACACGAGTTGAATCACGCGCTCTAAGCAGGTTTGTTTACCCTCTAATAACGTCCGCCAATCACATTCCATGAGGGTCGGAGCCGACTAGCAGAGTGTATACTAAGAAAACATGGGGCATCAATTGAGTTATACAAGATTGACATTCCTGACTTAGATATGAAAATTGCATCACTGTGTTCATGAAAGAAAGCACTTAACCACTCCTTGATGGATTTCACATTCACATTTTTCTTTAATGGAAAAAGGAATTCAAACATGTCACTGAAGATATCAGGATGATAGCATTGACTTTATGGTTGAGGTGAAACTCAAAGGAGTTGAGCAGGCATTGAAGTGCCTTTGATCCCAGCAATGAGATTCTCTGCAGCCAAGCGAGCCATATCTAGGCGAGTCTTCTCGGTTGCACTCCCTATGTGGGGGATCACAGCTGCCATGGAAGTAAAAAAGAGGCTCAGAAAACTAGAATTAGAATGAAGCACTAAGAGATGAGACACATGTTCCTTTCATTTCCCCTCTTCATTTTATTGCATGCATATAGTGATAGATACTTCCAATTTCCATGCTTCAGTAAATCATTTCCATATTGCCAGTAACAATAATTTCCCTTTTCCTTTTCTTTATTGCATATTGCTATTCTGCCAACTTTAAATCTTTTTTCCCTTGACATACATACTCTCATGCAGCACATGGAAAAAAGATTCAATTGTCTGTGTAATCCTCTCCTTTAAATGGCCATTCCTTTGCACTCAGGTGGCAGATTGAGAAGTAGGGCATTTACCTGTCATGTGGAAGATTGAACACATTAAAATTGTATTTAATAAAATTATAAAAGGCCATTTCATAGAATTACCTTAGAATTGAATATATATACCTCTTTGAGGTGAATTTAGAGGTTTATATATAGATGGGATGAGGACAAAAGGGCAAAGGGAATAATTGAGCTTCAGATGTGAAGCTTTCTCCATTGGTAGGCATGCTAGTAGGTGTCAACATATGACATAAAAAAAAAGGTGCACGAGGTGGATGCCTTTTAGATAAAGTGCTCACCCTTGGATGAGAATATTGAAAGCACATATTATTTTAGAACCTATATCAATTCCTCAGTGAAAATTTCATGGGTTCATTTCATTAGACAGGAAACTTGAAAAGTTTTAGCGAAAATGTCAGTAATGGAAAAATTTATCAATGACATATCCTGGATGGCTAAGAAAAAAAACATTTTCAACTCTGCATGCCTGTAGACAGAAAAGAATTCAATAGATTGCCATGAAATTCGCAGTATGTCCCATCCAACATATTTCAACATATTTCAGAATCCAATTAGCAGCTTTTTCTGGATGTTGTCAAATTAGCAACTGTATTGGTATGTGAACCCTAGATACTTGCTCCACACATGATGGAACTTGACTTACTCCTTTCAAATTACATTGGTAGATGTAGACATGCTCACTCATTTGATATTGTACAAAAATAATGAAAAATAAATTTCCTTGAAAATTTTGGAAAATCTTCTCATGTTGAATTGACATCAGGTGATCCAAAAAGTTCCAAATGAGATGCAACTATAGGCAAAACAACATGCAACAGAACATCAATAAATTTACAGGGTGCCACTTCCAAGATTTGGAGGTTGTTTTCTGAAAATACATTAGCTATTTAGAGTTACAGCTTATTTTTCTGTAAGATGTAATATGAGCAAGCATGCCTGCATCTGCCAGCTCAATTGGAACAGGATAGGGGAATCCCATTGCCTAAGGAGCAAACATCCAGGTTTCACACACTGACACATTTGCTGATTCAACATCCTGTGGAAAAATAGCTGTTACTTAGATTCTGCATAGTTAATTACATTGAAATTTTCATGAAACATCTGTTGAAAGTTTTTCTGTGTAGACTTTCTGCCACTAGTACTCCATCAGCAACCCAGTAGAGTTGAAAACTTCCTTTTGGGCCAAACAGAAGTATTTACAATTAGGCACATTTACAAATAGGCTGCTATCACACATGCATGTGATAGCAGCCAAGCACTGGACTCTCTCATCTCTTTTCCAAACAAAGGAACAGGTGCTTCTAACCTTTTCCAAGCAAAAAATTGGAATTTACATGGCATTATATCTCTCCCTGCAACTGAATTCCCTTCACATGCTATGGTGTTCAACTGGGATTACCTCTGAAATAGAGGGAAAAATGACAGATGAACCCTGATCTGGGCAACCTCTGACAGCTGTGACTCATCCAAACATTGATGCAGTGCACTCGCTAATGAGGTTCTTCCATTTTGATGATGATTCTTTATGAGGAACTTTCATCATCAATTACAGCAACTCAATGTTGCTTGAGTCACTGCTGTCAGAGGGTGCCCATATCAGCAGTTGTCTTGTCATTCTTTCCACACTAGAGGTAGCACCATTTAAACACCATTCTAAAATGTCAGGGCTAAGTCCTTGGAACCCTGGACTTTACACCTAGGTAAGTATTAGCTGAAGAGGCTTTCTTCAAGTTGTATAAAATGATGAAATGAAGGGGATTGTGGTTCAGGTTGACCACAGCAAGAATCAGTGCACATTATATGTTTCTACCAGCTTTCACTCTACATGCTCCAATTATATTAAATATCAATGGAACAGGATAAAACTCTCATAAGCAACCTTAAAGTCCTTTTAGCCAATGAGAGGCATGAACCATTTTGTTTTCATTTTAGTAGAAATATCTAAAAATGAAAAGTCAAATTACCAAATGATGACTCTGGTAATTACTATAATTAATTGTGGTTGTAATTTCCAAAAGAGACTGGAAATAATTTGACATAAATGGTATGTGAAAACCATTTTCAAAGGGACTCACTGCAGTTGGCTAGTTGGAGCAAGGGGTGATGAGAGGGAAGAGGTTCAGGTGTCATGACATCAAGCCCTGCTCCCCAAATTTCACCTCCTTTCAATGCTTCCACCAAGTCATCCTGATTTACCAAGCCTACACAAATACAGAAAAGCTGACACTAACAATGATTGAAAATTTCACTTTACTAAAAGCTAAGCAATTCCCTGTGGTATATGAATGCAATCTATCAATGTTACCTTTCCAGGTTTCCAATCAATCTTAATCTTCAACTCTCTCTCACCAATCAAGCAGGCAAGTGATATGTATGGCCAGTGGCTTGAGGGATGTTTCTCCTCCTCTTCCCTTTCCCTTCTATCCCTTATAAGCATTACTTGTACTTTACTTGGAAATCCAACTATACTGTAGGCATGCCTCACATTTTGACTTCACACCATTATGCATTTTTTATGCTACTCTTAGTTGTAGAAGTAAATAAAGTAATTTTAAGCATTTGTTAGTACTCACCTCCACGGCTGATATTGATGAAGACTGCAGAAGGCTTCATAAGTTGAAAAGCTCTCTTGTCAAACATGCCCTGTGTCTCAGGAGTGAGTGCACAAGTGCAGATGACAAAATCACTCTTCTGGAGAAGCTCCTCAAATTTCACCTCCTTCCCTCCTTCTGCTTCACCTGTTTGTAAGTCATTCATGGACTCTTAGGTAATTGGTGTCATCCCACACCATACTGCTCTTGCTGGAAAGTGAATTATCAGCTATTCCCTTAATAATCTTAGGGAAAATTACAAATATTGAGGTCAGGTAATCACTTTTTTATTATTTCCCATTCTATTGATCCACAGTTGCCACAGCAACAAAAAAATTTGGCTCAATGTGCATGTACAGCCTTGAGTCTGGGTCAAGATGTCAGTCACTGACTACAACTGCCAATTCCCTTCCTGTCCTCACAGCTGATGGACCCATAACTGACAAAGGGAGCAAGTGACTGCCCATAGCAGCAGAGAAAGGGTTGCTGGCCAAACTCACAAAATGTTACATTTGGCATCCTATATGTTTTACTCTCCTCCCATCTCCATATGGAATGGATGTGCTAGCCATCAAAGACTTTTGAAAGCTTATAGACTATTCACTTAGGCCTACAACATAAGAATAACAGATTTCATTTAAGAAAAAATTTTTTTGATATGTTATGACATGACAGAAAGAGATAACCTCAAAGGTAAAGTGGCCAGAGGAATATTAGATCTGTACCTGGGCTAGTACTCTAGTTTTGCTATCTCTAAGTCAGCTATGAGAGAAGCCTGGCTTCCTCTCAGTTGAATCAGTACAGCAAACACCAACAATTGAATCCTAATAGGAGCTGTGCTAATGCATGGAGCTAGCATAAACAGCTACATAATCAAGGAATCTTACTTACTGTTATCAGCTCCTACCTCTAGAAGCCAAATCAAAACAATTGTATTGCACTGTGTTCTTAACTTTTGTTTAGATCAGATTTTTGCTAAATTTCAACTTTCCCATAATGAAAGAAAGGACTAACTTGAAGAGGTGAGCTAGAAACTGGTTGGTACCTCAACAAGAACAATGACCCAATCTAATTTGTACAATGGCAACATTCAATGCAGTGAGAGGAAAACAGCATTTTGAGATTGAACTTTGGTATGAGGAATATGCAAGTAATTTGGGCCATGGAGTGACAGAAATTATACAGGAAAGAGAATGATGACTGGGTAAAAGGTAGACATAGAAGATGGAATAAGAGGAGAATGAGAGTATACCATGTGGCTTTGGCGAGCGGGCAGTGTAAAGGATATCCTTGACCTGAAAGGCCTTGAGCCTCAAGAGAAGGGCAAAGCCTATCCTCCCAAGACCAACTATTCCAACTGTACAGCCATGAAGCTGCTTCCCACACATCCAAAGTGGACTCCAAGCAGATTTCTCCCATCCCCCACTGTGGCAGCAAAGGCAAAACAGGCAATAAGTTGGCCTCAAAGATGCAATTCCTTGACTCCACAGAATGACATCACCGCTCACTACAGGAGCTATAAAGTCCACATGATAATGCATATACATGTTTAACTGCTGCTCTTTGTGAGAATGTGCTTCTAGAAACAATTTCTAGAGGCATACCTGAGAATCTCGCGATGTGACTGGAAGAAGCGACGAGCAGTGGCAAGAGTGAGACCAAGGGTCAATTCTGCAACAGCATCAGTGAGAACTCCTGGCGTGTAACCAACCTTAATCCCTCTTGCCTTCACTGCTTCAAGGTCTATATGATCTGTCCCCACAGAGAATGTGCTGACCACCTTCAGGCATGACCCTATTACAGGAATGAATTCTGCAGGTGTCATTGAAGGAAACAAAGAGAACAGACAAGGGGCAAGGCATGCCACCTGCTGCATCAAGGACCTGGGAGTCAATTTTCTCTGTGATGAGGCAGAGGATGCCTTGTTTCCCAGGGACCCTCTTCAACAATTCCTCACGAGGGATTGGCTGATCTCCATCCCACACCTCCAAGTCCAGCCTTTGATACATTCCATCCAGGTGATTGCCTATTGTACAGCCAACTTAGCTCCAACAGAGATGCTAGGAAAATTTTTATCTGGAATGAAACTCACTTCTGTTTCATCTGGGACAATATTTCCTCTGGGACATCTTTTCGTGTGAGAAGAGCAGTTGGTTTCATTTCACAGGATGTGTCAGATCTGAAACATAAGTTCAACCAATGTCATGCTACAAATGCATGGTATCAGGGAATTCAAATTATAGCATCTTGCATAATAGGCCTACACAGTAGTCTACACTGGAAGTCACCCTCTGCGGGAATATGCACTAAATGACAAGACTCAATTATCTACTCTTGGGTTCTTAATGGTAGTCTTTGATTGCTTTGGCTATTCATTATCATGCTAATGACTCTTCAAATATGGAACTTTCCAGAGTTAATACATATTAGCAAAGCTTATAGTGAGTCAATCTAGAGCTAATTCTACTGTTTTAATTTCATGAAAGAAACAGTGACAGAATGGGATAACCTCTCTCCCAGAGTAAAATCCTGTAGCATCCTAGCATACAAAAGAGGCTCTCCAAACCCCACGGCAAATGGAGCCTGCCTGTCCTTCTCTTATGATAGTTGAAAGTGCAAAATTCAGGAAGAAGATATCAGGATTTTTTTTTCTGATGTGCTAATTTGAGAACCAGGCTCATTCGTCAAGGGTACGCATAAGGAAGCACCAGACAAATTAAAAAGAAAAAGTATCCCCAAACCCGGAGCTCTAGGCTAATAGTAAGCCTATTTTCTGCAGCAGATCTTTCACCTTTAGTACCTATTGTTGCCATCTGGTAAGTTGAAGGCTTGTCTAACATTGAGAATGGGTGGTCATAAAATCTGCCGTCAAGCATTATAGGCTGTGGCCTAAAACAGCCAGTCAAGTCAGTTTTCAATTAGTATTGGATCTTGTTAGGATGAACAAGGATGCATTATTGCCCGCGTCTTCGAAGTTCCAAGGAAAAAGTAACCAGTGATCATTGACCTTAGCCCGTAATTCTATCATGTGTCTGCGTTTGGGTGCGTTCGCATATGCCCGACGTTAGGCTAGCCATCGACTTACTTGTTTTCGCTGAAGTTTGAGATCCTGAACGAAATTCGATTCGTAACACTAACGCTTGTTGACAGGATCTTGTTACTGAAGAGCGTGAGCGACAGCCGAGCAAGACGGTAAGTGTGACAAGCTTGGAACCCTGCCAATGATGAAATGGGGATGAATGGCATGACAGACACGTGAAGGGTCTAAAAGGCTGAAAACCACGTGGATCCTGTGTTGCAGGGTTGCCGCAGAAACTATTCTCGCATCTCCTTGCCCTCAATGAGATCGTTGGGTTTTCTTCAAACACGCCGAAAATATGAAAGGTTTGAAGAATTGAGCCGGAAGTGCAAGTACAGTAATGCATACAATTAAAATATATGTATATAAATGCAAACTATGAAGTAAGCAATTAAAATTCAGAAAGGAAAATTTGAAGGATTCTATGGTGGGAAAGGATTTTCCAATGGGGAGAGAACATCCATATCCACTACTATTCTTGCGGAAAAGCGCTATCAAATCCGAGAAATTTGACGTGAAGTAAATTTAACAGAGCGAATCGGCACTCATTCTTGGACTTTTCTTGCTTAAACGAAGTTCTTGTTGAAATGCGAAGTGATCAACATCGATGTATTCCTTGCTCTTGTGTGATTTTAATGAAGCCAAGATCAAACAACGGTGTGCCATAAATTATTTAATAAAAGGGAACCAACCCAGCAAACAATTTGAAACACAACATTGAATAAACGTTCGGAACGTTGATACAACGTTGGTCCAACGTACCCTTGTTTGCTGGAAATGTGTATCTAACGCCTTCTGCCCGAGGACTACCACTCTACCGCCTGCTCGAGAGCAATGGGTTTCAAGTCCCAAATACAGTGACTGTGCAAAAAATGAGCAACTCACTTTTGGACAGCACATTTTAAGAGTGATGAGGCTAATTCATATGCAAGGCATGGCGAAATTTGAGAAACGACTTTTGATAGGGTTATTTTAAGAAATAAACACGACGCGTTGTTTCCTTTAAAAGAAAGGTAACTATTTTTTTTAATAAGCCATCAGCGATGCCATATTAGATAAATGATGGATAGTGGCGTATTTTACGGGGGGCAGGGGGGACGACCGCCCCCTCCCCCTCCCTCCCTCCCGCCTAAATTCGCCACTGGCGATGAACATTGGAGAGCCACGAGGTGTCGCAAAGAATATCACTTTTTTTCAGTGCCTTTGTCTCAGCTATGCGATGCCGCATGGCAAAATTTACTTGTGGATCATTCCACCCAAAGCGTGCCGATGGACTGCAGAGTTCCGTTTAAAAAATTCGGTATGCAATCGGATGATGTTGACAATATCTATGAGCCGGAGTCGTGGGTAAACCTCCAAGGCAAACAGGGACCGAGATAGGCAAGGAAGATCCAGGCTTTTAATATCCAACTCCGCGGTGGCGTACTTTGGCGTCGAGGGAATTGGGGGGGGGGGGGGGGGGGGGGGGGGGGGGGGGGCAAAGCTGGGGCGCCAAACCCCACCCGAGCGATATCAGGGGAGAAAATTATTGCCTGCAAGGAGGCGTCAGATTCTGCCCCAGTGGCACCGGGGGAAGGGCGCAGCCGCTCCCCCTGACCCCGTGAAATACGCCACTGCGACTCCGGCAAAAAGTCCCTTACAGCTTTCAGCATTCTAATATCCCTGTCCCTGTCCCTTCATCGATGCAACCACCGATTTGTAATTATACGACTTTCCAATTTGAAAGTGGAAAAATTAAACGGGAATATCTAATCGATCTTTCGTTGTTAAGTACGGTGAGAATCGATCATTGTCGGAACGGGCTATTTTGCCTCGATCACTCGATGTGGAAATCGCACGAGCATCAGTCGTGGATCGAGGAGACTGGAGGAGAAGGAAGGGGTCGTGCTCGCATCCCCCTTCCTCAACCCGCAAGCTGAAAGTGGAGGGAAGAGACCGTACCCGCGTGTCCACGCAGTTTCGCCAGTCCCTCCACCGCTGACATGCGTGGGGAATGCGTCGGAAATGCGTCTCGTCCGACGGTAGTCACTCTTGCGATGGGATGCGAGTGAGACCGGACGAATCGGCCCGGTGTGTGACGTTCGCGATAGGACGAGCATTTCGTGGCGGGGTCCGTCTTCAGCGGTCTGAATAGAGGAAGCATCGACGTCCACGCCAGGGATTACCGCTTCCCCTCTCCCACCGTGAGGAAATTTAACGCAGAAAGGATGAAGACCGGCGAGGCGACCCGAGTGGTAAGTCTTTCAAGCGATTCCTCGTCCACACACGGTGTGTTATTAAATCGTGGTCGTGGAGGGCTTGTCTCCTGATTCTCGGGAGCTAGCCGAGGGTGGACAGGGACAGTGGCATTGCGTTTGGGGAACGAGATGGGGAGCACCCCCCCCCCCCCACCATCACTTTTCAAGTGAAGAAGCAAAAAATATGGAAAAGACGCGCGAATGCATGAGAACGGAGCCTATAAGTTCTCATCCCCCCACTCCCCTACTCCTCCCTCATACAGGCTCTTTCCTTCTAGTCTAAGCTTAAGGGCAAAGAGTGTCGTTCGTGGAATATCGCATTCGGTTCGTAAACCCTTGCTAATGAGGCAAAATCTTTTCTATCGGAGGATGAAACTAGGTCGCAGTCGAAGAGTCCGAACTCGAGACGCGTTTCTGGAAGCCTGTGGATCGACTAAATTTATCGCAAATGCCGGAGTTCGAGAGCCCGAAGCGAAATACTTGGTCTGCCCCAGCCGATGAGAACATCTACGGGATTTATTTACTCGGTGGGTGATGGGGACCGTGCCAGGTCATCCGTCTCCCGACAAACCTGCCATAGAGCCAGTGATATACTGAGTCCCAGTTCCGCGCAGAACCAGACGGCGCTTGCACTTCCTGATTGGCTGTGGACAGGGGAGCCGTTGAGTTCGGGAAATTATGCCACGTGCTCCCGTACTCTACAACGGACCGTCAAGGACTGCCTTGCTTCACCCTCCTTTCTCTCGAAAACGGTTCCGTTTAAGAAAAATTCTGTTAAAACAAGATTTGTTGTCCAGAATCTACCCTAGCCAGTAGTAGAATTTTTTTTTGGCGGTTTGACCATATTTAATTGAGATAATCGTACCCATAGGATTATGCCTATACCATACCCATATACCCTTTCCATCCGAGGCTCTCCTTCCCCCTACATCTCGACACCGACACGGTTCACAAAAATTCTCTTTCTGACAAGTTTTGTAGTCTAGATTTCGCCCTAACCGGTGGTATAAATACTGTCGCTGTATGCCTTCATTTTAGTTTAATACGCTTCCAAATAGGACCTTCCTCGATCTCACCTCTCCTGGGAGGTCATACTACGTTTCTTCTCTCTCATGCCTCTGGAAAATGGTTTGCCTCGTGAAACATCCCTTTCAGACAATATTTGGATCTCAGAGTCCACTCTGGTCTGTGGTATACAGTACATTTCAGAGCAGCACGTTCATATTCACGAGAGGAAGTATCATACCTATTCTGGGAGATTCAGTACCCCAAACAACTTGGCACCGTCTTCCTTTGCGTAATATAGGCATAGGGACAATTTTCCGGGGCAGGGAATTTGAAACTACGATCACTCGTATTCAAAGTGAAGAGGCATAGGGAAAAATTCTGGAAATCATTGAACTCCTCTACAAAGAGTAGCATCTGCCATACATATTAGGATGGGCAAGGCCATGAGGTAAGATGTGTGTCCTGAAATAAAATTTTAAAAAAAGGATAAGCGTATGAATTCGATCGTGGGGAATGGAATCAGCACCTGATCTGTGTTGATAGAGTGCGGGTGCATGTTCACCGTTCATTTTCTAACAGATACTTATGATACATATAACGGGTAGGAGAAAATAGCAACGCAAGGTATACCGCAGACGAGAATGGACTCTTGAGTCCCGAATCTAGTGTGAAAAGGATGTTTCACGAGACGATTCATTTTGGAGATGCTTGAGAGAGGCGGAACGTTGCCGGACCTCCCGAGAGAGGTGAGATTGAGGATGGTCCTATTTGGGGAGTATTAGACTAAAATGAAGGCGCACAGCTTCAACATTTATGCCACTGGCTAGGCCATACTCGACTAAAAATCTTGTTTAGGCACAATGTTTCGTAAACTGAAAAGTTTTCGAACTAAAGGAGGGAGAAGCGAGGCGGCCCTCCACGGTCCATTGTTGAGTACGGGAGCACGTGGTATTGTTCTCGAACTCAACGGCTCCCTGTTCACAGCCATCAACTCGCGGCCGCGCAGAATCCACCGGGAGAGCGTATGAGCAATAAGTTCGTTCGGTTCAAGGATGTCAAAATACGCAGTCGTGTTTGCACCTCCCGCCTCTGACTACATTTTCATCCGCACCGAAGCCACAAGCTAAAGCCACAAGCCTCTCTTCCTTCTGGACTCGGCGAACGGGGTCCATCGATGACAAGAGGTCAAAGGTCACGATATATTCTCGATCATCTTCACGCGGATGAAAATCTTTCGCGTTCGAAGTCGACCTCTCAGGATCGACGACTCACCTCATAATTATTTTAAGAGACCTCGAAATTGAGGGCCTGTTGTCAATTTTGGTTTCACAACTCTCGCGTCAATCGTTTAACTGCTCAGTAGGGTGAAAGGTCACGATTTTGGTAGGTCTTCTCAGAGGGATCACATCTCCGATGTCGTTACACGCACAACGCACATATTCATTTCATTCATTCTCTTCCTCGGAGTTTCTTCAAAAGTGATGAAGAGTTATTGATTGCGCTGCTACAAGATGAAGGAAAGTTTCGAATTCTCGTCTATGACAATTTCCCATCCCAAAATCTGCCACGAGTAACACATTGCGAAATCTATGAATGAGTTTTTGTATTTCGTTTGATAGTTTTCCGCCGAGGACTGACGGTCAAATCTTATAAGTAATATTGTGACGGATGAGGATGGCATCGGGAGGGTCGGCTGAATGTCCCGGGTTCGGTGGTGTAGTGGTAGCACACCTGACCGGCATTCAGGAGGCCCGGGTTCAGTTCCCGGCCGTTCCCTGGCTTCCTTCGACCTCTCATGTCTTCCGTCGTCCGTCTCCACTTTCCCTCCGTAACAATATTTACGTGGCATTTGAAAATCGGTTCGAAAATCATGCGTTTCATTTTGAACGTTGGACCATACTTTCTTGTCGGCGAGAATGAGATGTTAAGATTTTCTTGTGCCTATATTAGAAGGCAACCATGGAGAAGGGCTCTGCTTTATTCCATGCTGATTCGTTGATCCCCTCCTCCTCTCCCCCATGCCACCTTCCTCGGATGCCCCCAAGAGCTGCTTCTCGAAACGATATGACGAAATGACCCACGGCCCGTCGAAATCGCCCTTCGGAATGCACGGGTTACCCAATAGTACAGCATTTTCACCGTCTCGGTATCTGGAACGCTCGGTATCTCGGATCTACAGGTAGCTTCTCAGTCTCTTCAAGTTGTCATCTGATTTCAGTAAAAATCTGTCCATAAATGTATTTAGTCCTTCCTGTCTTCTTAGACCTAATCTCGGAGCATTCTTCAACTCGGGTTCGCTCAACCCGATTTGATTTCATTTTGTGGTTCTATGAGAATAATTTCAACTCGGCTAATTTTGCGTGCTGTAGATACTATTTGAGGTGAAACCAATCCGGTGCATTTCACCACATTGGCGTCTGGATTCATTCTTTCTTACTTGTATGGTACATTTAGCTCTCGTTGGGGAATATTGTGTCGGGTGGTAAAGAATCGGCAAAAGTTTATGTCGGGGGTTTTCTGTCGGGAATGCTTTAGCAGGGCATATTCCGTCGTGCCACGTTGTGCCTCATTGGTTCTCAGTCTGTAAAACAGAACTGTATCGACTCAACGTTGACATGTTGTTGACGATGTTGATGGGATGCTGATGCTGATGTTCCAATGCATAGTCAACGTTAAGATGTTAAAAATATAAACTTTGCGAGGAAATTGTCCGGTCAATGTTACATCAACATTCGTGTATGTCGGGCGAGACATCTCGCGAGGCATTCGAACAGGGTGATTTCCTGACCCCGAAGTGAGACGGCGACAAATAGCTAGCACAGGGAGTTTCCTCATATGCAACCGGCACGCATCCCCAGTACTTTTGGAACGGTACTTGATATTTTCGCCACAGACAACATCGAGAAAGGTATTGAAATTCCTGGATGTATTCGGCGAAAGAGGCAACCCAACCCAATGAGACTCAAGGGAACGGAGAGAAGAAAGTTCACATGTTGTAGTGACTCAATGAGTCACGTCTCCGCCTCTATTAGAAAAAATATCCTAAATCTGATCCTGCTGTTCGCGCGGAAGGATTCAGAAAGTTACTACCACCCATCTCTTACTTGGCTGCAATTACTCGCAATTACTCCAATTGGGACAGTTGAGATATGTCTTGTTTCAACATTGAGGCAATGTAGAGCCAATGTGGCGATGAGAATTCTCCAACATTGACTCGATATCGTGGATGTTGAAACTTCAATGCTTCTACAACGTTGCATCAATATTGCTTTGCAGACTGGATTCCTTCCGTAACATACAGCTGAATTCTTCGGATCTCGCTCCCACATCCCGAATCGGTCTGGAATCCTCATAATTCCCCTCTTTTCTTCTTCAGGACCTCAAGTTAAAGCCAGCCCTGCATACTCTACAGTGGCAGATCACTTTATGGAAGTGAGGAAGGAACGTAAGGAATCTCGATCACGAGTGCAGAGCAGTATCAGATGGGCGAACTATGGGCGTTCAGTCAAAGAGGGTGGAAGCAAGGAAAATGCGAGAGAAGGACTTCACAAAAATTAGCGTCTCTACCTCAATTTTATTATTTTTCAACTTCGAGTCGATTCCATTCTCCGATAAAGAGTGCGAATCCCTTCGGCTTCAGTCTCTTTGAACTTCGGTCGAACATCTTCACCAACGAGCTGGGAAAAATCATGTTCAATATCGAGTCTCCTTTGCACCTCTGTGCTCTTTTAAGTGCATCGTCATCGATAGCGCAGAAGCATAATCTAAATGACGGCAAAGTCTAAATGACTGATAAACTGGTAAGTAGTGATAATCCCCCAAAACAATAGACGATAGATCATTCATTCACATGATTCAAATTAAATTATGATTGAAAAGTACCATGTCCATACCACCGTGGCAGACTTCTTTAATTGGGTAACATGAATGTCTGGTTTCCTGCAAGCTGAGCGTATGTTCAGCGTTTGTTCTGTCATTTCATGTTCTAGTAGTCAAATCACAATCAAATCAGTTTGTCAAATAAAACCATGCATTTTATTTCCATACATATCATCCAAAGGGAAATCACAGGACGTGATTTAAATCTGATATGGTTTCATTTTGCCACCATCATAAATCATCTTCATCCTTTCAGGGCAGCTTTTGTGCATTTTCTAGAAAAAGTAACATATTTGATTTCGTGCTGGAGGCGACATAAAAAGGACTGCGCACACGTCTCCAAGCCTTTGAGGACAAACGGACGAGAGAAACGACGTGCGGTGGCGAGATGGGGGACGAAAGTTTCATTTTCCAGATCGAAGAGGTGCGCACGAGCGAGCGAAGAAAGAGGAAGGACGAGGTCTAGGTCACGACAAGGATCTGTCTTTTGGCTTCTCTATCACGGCCTCTAGGAAGTCCGCCTTGATGTCCAGCGACTTCATGGTCATCTTCCTCTCGATCGTCGCCAGGGACTCGCCGTTGGTTTCCGGCAGGAAGACGAGGACGAAGATCCCCAGGAAAACGGAGCACCCGCCGTAGAACCAGAAAGTACCGTGCATTCCCCAGGAATGTTGCATGAGGAAGAAGGTGTCGACGACGAGAAAGGAACTGAGGCCGTTGAGGCAGATGATGATCCCGCCTCCGATGTCCTTGATCTTCTCGGGTAGAAATTCGCTGACCAAGAGGACGGCCAAGGAGCTGACACCCGAGCCGTATCCGACGATGAAGAGGCCCATCGATGCCAGTGGGACCCAACCGAGACCGTGGATCCTCCCTTCCGAATCCAAGTAATTATAGGTGCCGAAGATGGCGTGGGCGATACTTATCAGAGTGCAAGACAGCATCATGATTTTCTTGCGGCCCACTCTGTCGAACAGGAAGCCAGAAATGCACTGGAAGACGAACTGGACGACGGCGATGAGGAGGGTGGCCAGATTGGGGTCGATGGAGCTCCCGGCCATCTGGAAGATGTCCACCGTGAAGTAGAGGAGAGAATAGATGCCGGTGAGTTGGCGAAAAGCGCAGGCGACCACGGTCAGAAGCACCGGCTTCACGTACATCCATCGAAATACTTCCCTGATTTTCGTCTTGGTTCCTCGGATGAGCTCGCGACGATCCTCCATCTCTTTCATCTCCGGTTCGATGTCGTAGTGAGAGCCTCGTATCCACTGGAGCGCCTTCCGGGCTTCTCCGTCGCGATTTTTCGCCAAGAACCAGGCGGGAGATTCGGGGATGAGGAAGAGGAGAGGTAAGTTCACGAGGGGAATGATGCCGAGGATGATCGCCAGGGTCTTCCAGTGCAGGAACCAGCCGAGACCGACCGTGAAGATGGTTCCCAGGGAGAGGAGGAGCATGGGACTGGCGCCCAGGACCCCTCTCATGGACGGGTGTGCGATCTCCCCGATGTACACCTGGCACGTCGACGTCCTGAAGTCGGCCGTCATTCCTGCCAGGAAGCGGGCCGCCATCATGAGGGTCAGGTTGGGAGGGAATGCCACCACTCCCCAGCTGATTGCCATCGGCACCAAGGCCAGTGCCAGAGTGACTCTCCTCCCGAAGCGAGTCGACACGGGACCGCTGATGAGACTTCCTGCCATGGCCCCGAGATTCGTGATGCTTCCTGCATGGAGGAACCGGGAGATTCCACGACGTCAATTTCATGCCGTCGTACGAGTAGGGTGTCTCACTCATCTTACACTCACGTTTCGGCTACTCGGAAAATCTGGAGAAATGCTACCACGGAGCCAAGCTGCCGACCGTATTCGACACTTACAAGCGTTCCGAGCTAACGATGCCGACAAAAACAGGTACTTTCTCGCATCGAGAACGACGTACGGGATTCCAAAATGAGGTCTCGAGTGGGACACCCTATCACACCGACGCGTTTCCGCATCAGCTCCGAAGGTGCATGATATGAAGGCGTTCGTGTCATGAAAGTGGGGGGAGTGATGCGATGCGATCCGATCCGATACGATGCGATGTGATGCGAGAGAGAGAGGAAATGGTTACCTCGACCTGGCGGTGGACCTGGGCCTGACTTACCTCGTCGTGCATCGCCACGAGCAAGTACCAGGGTGGTCCTAGGAATCGAAACTTAATGGCTGAGGCATGTGATTTTGAGCATGTTTGACAGAGTTCTTCTGAAGAGAATCTGCAATGAAAGGACGGGGGAAAAGCCGGTGAGCAAAGAGAGGCCAGGGTGTGCCCATATACCAGCTAGAACTCCGGACGACCCCTTCTACATCGTGGGCTGCAAAAGAATTCTCCACTTTCTCCTCTTCGTTTCTCTCTTTACTGCCACGATATTCTCGTTAGCCTACGAGAAGAGAAGAAGCGGGTTCTCACCGAAGAAGGCCTTGTCCCCGTCGGTCATGTCGAAGGGCCGATTCGGATCGTCTTCGAAGGAGGGCAAGGCCACGGCAGAGTATCCGATGATCATCCCCCAAAAACATCCGTTGAGACCCACCACGAACGTGGCGAATATCTGTCGCATCAATGTGCATGCACGCTTCAAGAGTAGAACGCTTTCTTCTCGAGAGGAATTTAATAGATCATCTCTGATTAATTACATCTAAGGCGCTCCCCACGTGCTCACGAGCCGAAGCGGACGGAAAGGAAGTCCGAGACGTTCGTAATCGGCCACTAACAATGGAGAATCTTCATTTGAAGATTCCTTTGTCCAAGTCAGTTCGTTTTTGCTCTACGCGGTGTTTCAAAAAAACGGTGTCAAATCATTTTCGCTCCTAATGACAGTAAGTTTTACCAGATCAACTCAGTTTTTTAAACACTGCATGTAGATAGAGGAAAGAAGGTATGTGCCAAATTTTATGAAAATTGACCCATTGTTTCACGTTCGATGTCATTTCAAACTTGACTTGTAAAATAGTGTGCCGTACAAGCTCAAAAAAAGTGCCAATTTTTTTTTAAATATCGGAATGTTAAGTAAATTTCATCCGATCGGCCTAATATTTCACAAACTGCTTGTGGATAGATGAAAGAAGGCTTTTGCAAATTTTGAACGATATTGACTGAATGTATCAAATGATACACCATTTAAAACTTGAAGGCTGAGAAAATGCACCGGACATACCTCGTACCTGCTGATGCGTTCGTCTCAGCTGTGCAGCAAGCGAGTGTCCGAGTGCCATCAGACGGCAAAGGAGGTTCGCTTCACTGGCTTAGACGAACGCATCACCTGGCGTGTCTGTTGGATTTTCTTAGCCTTCAAGTTTTAAACGGTGTATCACGTGATACGTTCGGTCAATATCGTTCAAATTTTGCAAAGGCCTTCTTTCATCTATTCACATGCAGTTTGTGAAATATTAGGCCGATCGGATGAAATTTACTAACAATAAAAAAAACGAATTGGCACGGTTTTTTTGAGCTTGTACAGCACACTTTTTTACATGTCAAGTTTGAAATGGCATAGAACATGATGCAATGGGTCAAATTTCTTAAAATTTGGCGCATGCCTTCTTTCCTCTATCTGCATGCAGTGTTAAAAAAATTAAGTTGATCTGATAAAATTTACTGTCATTATGAGCGAAAATGATTTGACAGCTTTTTTTTAAACACCGCGTAGAACTGCCTGCGTATTTTCCGATTCGCAGAACTCTTTTTGAAATTACTACTTCAGGTCTTTTCTTTTGGACTTAAAGTATGCCCTAGGCTCCGCTACTCGTGGGTTTAGCTATCGCAGTAACGACTTGTCGTCACTTTCAGTAACGAGACGGTACTCGAAACTCAAACGCGGCCAGATGAATCCATCAGTGCGTGATAACAGGACAGGAAAGGGAAGAGGCAGGAAGTCCAGCAGATACCGAACACATTCCGTAAATTGGGAACCTCCGTGAAATTAGGGTCGATTACGTCTCTGTGTGAGCGCGATGAGAGTCGTTTTTCTCCAAAGATTCATTGTTTTCTCCTACCCATTTTGTGTTGCGTCGTAAGCCAATATTTGAAGAAAATTATCCTAACATCACGAGGGTTTCTCTTGAAATGGAAGTTGACATTGAAGCTAATGTAGTGGAAGAGAGGAACGAGACCAGGGGCCTGTTCCTCGCCTGTGCTAAACTTAAATCTAAATCTAAATCTAAATCTTCACAGGCGAGGAACGGGCCCCTGGATTGTTTGCCTAAACGAGTTTCTCCATCATCTCTCTCTCTCGATATCATGCTAATTATGCCAGGTCAAGATTGCACATACACGCTTTGCTTTTTTTTCCACGATACAAGCGAGAAAGGTGGGGGGGGGGGGGACTGTATTGTACATTCTGTTATTCCTCTTGTTCCGCGTTTCCATTTGTGTCTTCTACTCGTTTCAGGTTCCCTTCACTCACAGATGAGTTGCACAAGTTCATTGCTGCATTTTATTTAGATCGCTAATTGATTCCTTGCACCATGTACTCCGTCCCAGTCTCCATAGATGTCTCGTCCTATCTCATTCATATGCAAACCTCTTGCCACGTGAATTGCTATTTGCAAATGAACGGTCCGTTGAAAGAAAATTAGTACGTCTATGCATCCGTCTTCCGGTGGAGAAAAAAGGGGAGAGCCGGTGATGCCGTCCCGTCGTCCGAAAATTCTGAAAAGGGGTCGACCTATCTTCATGATGCATGAACGGCCGACCTTAACACGGGACGTCGTAATAGGCGAAAGTACCTCTTGATGTCTTACCTTCAACCCTTTCCTTTCATTTCTCGACTTCCCTTCTAACCCATGCAAATTTTGAGACGAAATTTTCCCGGAGGCATAGACGGGGAATGCATGAGTCCCAGATCCCCTTCTCCTCTCCCTCCCCCTCCTCCTCTCCCTCCCCCTCCCCCTCCTCTCCCTCCCCCTCCCCTTCCTCCTCTCCTTCCTCCTCCTCGCCCACTCCCCCTCCCCCCCTCAACGCCTCTGCTCCCATATCCTTCCGCATTCGGATACCCTAGATGCGTCACTGGGAATACGCAGTGACGAAAACGAGCAAGCGCACTGCGTCGATACGCAATTACATCATCTTCTTGCCAGGAATTTTTTTTGGTGAAGTCTTGTCGAGGGATATTTTTTGAAGCTACGAAAGTTTTCCAAGAACCAGAAGGCTCCATCGACCACCTCCATCTGCTCCAACATTATCAATTAATCGTTTGGAAAGAACGGATATGCGATTTAATCCTGACGGTAGCACCCAGAGGAGTCCGTGCTTTGCAAGGGTCTCGCGTGCGGGATCTCTGCACTATTGAAAAGAAAGCGAACGTTAACTTCAGTTTCCCTCCCATTTTATTTTAATGAGAACGAAAAGGGAAGAAAATGACTCCAATCCTCGCTTCTTTCTTCTCTTCCAGAGCAAAAAGAGATGAAAATAGGAGTCAGCGCTTCGCTTAGCCTCTCTTTTAGAGCGTAGAGCCAGTCCGCAGCGAAATTCGCGCTTTCGCACCGATACCATTGAAACAGATTGGGCTGACAAAAACCAACTCGAGTGAGGTTATATTTAAGGTGTTATAAAAAAGGAAAGAATTCCTTCGTCTCGTACCCATGCAGGCCCATCGTGACCGATACCTTCGTTTCCTTCTCCCTTCTCATTCTAATTTAAACTTGTTTCCTTCCTTCTGCTCCATCCTCTATGAGGGTCGAGTGTGAAAAATTCAGTAAATATTTGATATTGAAGTATGAGACCACCATGGAATTAAAAGCTAGGCTAGGTTATCTTTTCGAGATCGAGTGTTGCGCGTCCACGTTGACCACGAGACGGAGAGTGCTCGCGAAGTTGAACGGCGATTCGGGGAAGAAACAGAGCGGAACCGTCTGCCAGAAAGGCAATTCTTGCTCTGCGTGAAGGCCTCCAACGGTGTGGGAGTGGCAGACCCGCCCCAAAGCGGTGGAAGAAGTGTTAGAACAGCTGAGAATTTGGTTGGAGCGGCAGATGCATTCACCCCGAGTCCAAGAAGGTGAAGAAGGCCTGCGAGAAGGAAATTAAACCGAGAGGTATCGGTTCCATTTTTAATCCTTTCGCTGGTATCCCCCGACCCGACCCGGTGACCTCGTATCTTAAAGCTCACCGGTGAAAGGGCTACAGATACGAGTCCGAAACGTTCCACTTGGCTCTCGTCCATGAGCTTACGGAAGGCGATCGCGACAAAATGCGACTGAGACTTCTCGCTGCCAGGTTAAGTTCCTGTGACGCACGCCTTCGTAACTTCGTACTTGCGGCGAATGCATCTGACGCCTTGGCCGAATTCTCGGCCGTTCTAAACACTTCTACCACTTTGGAGCGCGTCTGGAAATTTCCAAAACCGTTCAAAGCGTTCGCGCCGTACAAGAATCGCCTGGCAGACGGTTCCCGTGCTGTTTCTTGTCCGAATCGCCGTTTAGCTTCACCAGCAGTCTCGGTTCTATGGTAAAGACGGGCACACGACACTTGATCTCGTGAATAAAGCCTGGCAGCTATCCCGATCGATGCTTAGTTACACGCTCGAATTTAGAATTAAAGCTAATTTAATTTGATGGTAGTTACGTGTTCCTGTGTCAGATACTTAAGGAGTTATTCGTGTTCGAACTCGTTCCTTTACTTCTGCTCTACACTGTAAGTGAACTTTTTGTCGTATTTCGTTTTGTCGTATTTCTCACAGCATCGATAGTTTCTAGAAGCAGCTGGGCACTCAACCGGAAGGAGGTAAACGTGTAGATCCTATGCCAGCGAGATCCCGGATCTCCTCTTCGGGGAGGAGCACGATTACGGTAGATATGGCTCTGCCCGACTCGTGCAACTTTCCGATCGTTCCGTGCTGTACGGGGCTAAGCTAGGTGTTTCGTCGTTCCGGGGGGACGTAGGCGCTGACCTCGAGAAGGCGAACGTCGCCTACTCCTCACTCCAGCCCTCAAACTAACAGAAGCTTCGATTTTGCATCCGGTTCTCACCAGTGCAACGATCGAGTTTCAGGGCGCCTCCAAACGTTCAGACACCGACATCGTTCGGATGTTCCGTTCGTACGAACGAGGATCAGGATCGCGATGCCGACGCGAATCCAGATATCCCTACACGAATGACGGTGCTGTAAACAGTATTCAAAGCACGGTACCTCGGATCGATTTTTTAGCTTTTGCGTCGTGGCGATTTCTCTTTCGTCTTTCATCGTTTCGGCTCGTTCGCACGCGAGTGGCCTCGATCCTCGAAAAGCAGCGAGAGAGCGAGAGACGCAAACGGCTTCCGCTACGTGCATACGGGTAGGCTGGAATTGCACGATGGGGCAAACCTGGGTGATGATGCGTGGCTTCTGGCTAGCTTCCATGGCGTTCGGAGCTCGACCCACGGACCGTCGCCCACCGACTTCGCCGTCCGACAACAAGGAGGACGAGGAATCCGCGACACTGTCTCCCGCCTCCGAGTTCTTCCTTATATCCTCCGTCTTCGTTGACGTCATGCTCGAGCCACCTGGTTCCACGGAAGATACGAGTCGAGTCACAGGGTTTATGGCCCTAGCAACTGCGTGTAGGGTGAATGCATGCGCACTGCCGATCAAAGTCTCTCTCTCTCTCCCCCATGCCCTTTCTTCATCGATCCACCCTCCCCCTCTCGGTATTTCATGCCGTGCAAAAACAGTACGTCCGGGATGGGGGATCCGACACGAGACATACGATACTCGACCGGTGAATCGGCATGCTCTTCTTCGGCGATGAGGTCGGCATGGGGATGCCTTGGATGCCATCGTGCGTCATGCCATCGTGCATCTCCCAAGCTTCCGAGTCTCACTCGCGCACCGAAGCAGATGAAGTCGGCTCTCAGTGAGGGCCCAGCGTGTTGCCGAATGCCTTGAGTAAGGCGAGAAGCTGCTTTCTGAGCCATTTTCTCGTTATTGTCTCCATGGGATGGTTTATTCTCTCGCAGGTGATTCTTACGACTCCAAGTCTTGTCCCCTTGCTGTTTGGGGTTAGGCCCCGTCCCCTCTTTACTCTTCAACCCAAATGCTTCGGACCGCTTATTTTCTTCTTGTTTTCATTCCAGCTGCCTATAGCTCTTTTTCTTAGTCACATCTTGCGGCATCCTGTGCCGCATCATGGGAGAGAAATTTATCCGTAAATACGTCATCTGTCCCGGATAGATGAATACACGACGAAACATGATATTGTTTAACCTGTTGGATATTCGAGTCGTCTGGTACTCCATTTGCGATCCTTAGTATTCGCTTTTATGTGCTGTACTTAGTAGCGGAAGAAAATCAGAGCGAGAATTTCATGGACTTGTATCGATTTCGTTGCAGAGAGGAGTGATAGGGTAATTTGGGGGAATATGGCCGCTTCTGAAAAAAACAACTCCAGGTTGTCCAGGAACGTGTGAAATATGCTGTAACATGCTGAGTACCTTGAAACATGATAAAAGGACTCTCAGCAGTTGAAAAATAAACACTAACTGCACCGAGGACAAACAAAGAAGTCGACATCATTTCTTTACTCGAGGAACCGTTTTGGAAAGCAGGATTGCAACACTTTTGCTTTTGAGTAACATTGCACATGATTGGGAGACAATATCTAGAGACTGTGTGTGTGTGTGTAAGAGGAGTGATGAAGCATAGATTAAAGTGACCATACGCTACGAGTGTAAAATAAGAGGTCTTATATTGCAGGAAAAATGTTGCGTAGTTTTTGCACGTATGGATAAATAGTGCCAAAACATCACAGTATGCCCTATTTGTACGAGGGATATTTACTTGCATTCAATTTTCTTGCGACAAAATTTTCTGGAGAATGTCAGGCGATGCATAAGGAGGTGCATGAGCATAAATTCACGCACAGCCTCCTCATGTACTGCATATTTCGTCCGGATGTCCAGTACGTCTATCCATATATCCAGAGGAATTGCATTGGATGATCTTTTGCAGCCTGAGATCCCACACGAAAGGAAACTGACACTATCAATAGATCAGTGCGGTGCTAACATGAAATGAAGTATGTGTCCAAATTCCCCCATATTGGCTCGCAGTACAAAATTGACAACACTGCCTACAAACAGCAAGTTTGATCTCCATGATCCATGAGAAGCGTTTAGAAGTATTGGGACTGTACTCGCTCGAGCGAAGGTTAAGGAGGGGCGATCTCATCCAAGCTTTCGAGATAATTAAAGGAATAATGTCGAGTGCAGTAGGTTTTTCCAGTTTG